GCGCTCGAAACGCGCACGGCTTCAGCTGGAGGACATTCAGTGCGGGCGGGACGGTCCCCTGGCCAGCGTCATCCGTGAGCTGCCGCGCAAGTCGCGCATCGCGCTGGCGGCGACGTCGTCGGCGATGATGGCAGCGGTGCTGGAGAGCTGCGACGGCGCGAGGTGGCGGTCACGGGACGCACGCAGCCAGTGTGCGGAGGAGCGGGTGGGGCAGACGGTGGCGCGGCGGCTGGAGGGGCGGGTGTCGGAGGGGACGAGGTCGCTGGTCGGGTGGGCGACGGGGCGCGGGGAGTGGGTGGTGTATCAACGCGCAGGCACGTGCGACGTGGGTGTGCCGTCCGCGGTGGTGCGCGTGGAGGCGGGAGATCGGGATACGCTGCGGTCACTGTTGCTCCAAACGGATGCCGGCCGGCGTGAGCTGGCGTCGGCGCCGGCAGTGACGGCGGAGATGACGGGCCTGCGGTGCCTGGACGTTACCTGGTACTCGTTTAGTGACGGGCTGGACATGGAGGGTGTGTGGGGGCGGGAGTGGCTGCCTGCGGGCGTGGCGGCGGGCATCACGGAGCTGCAGGTGTGCTTCACGAGGCTGGAGCGCGTGCCGGAGGGCATGGTCTCGCTCGAGGTCCTGGACGTCAGCCGGTGCGAACGGCTGGATGGCGAGGCGTTCCTGCCGGCGTCGAGCGCGGGGCGGGTGCGGGTGCTGACGGCCGACTACAGCAGCCTGCGGAGGGTGCCTGAGGGGATGTGCGCGCTGGAGGAGCTCAGTGTGTGCGACTGCAGGAGCCTGGACGAGGCGTGCCTGCCGGCGTCGTCCGCGGCGGGGCTGCGGGTGCTGTACGCAGAGGGCAGCGCTCTGCGCAGGCTGCCCGCGGGGATGCGGGCGCTGCGGGAGCTCCACGTGTACGGGTGCGAGAATCTGCAGCCCGAGCTTGCACTGACGGGCGCTGCGGAGCTGCGGGTGCTGAATGCTTTGGGCACGGGGATGCGGGTGGTGCCGGAGGGGCTGGCGGCGCTTGAGGAGCTCGACGTGAGCGGCTGCGAGTCGCTGGACGTGAGCTCGCTGCGCAACGCTCCCAGGGTGCGCGTGCTGGGGGTGAACAGCGCTGGGCTGTTGAGGGTGCCGGAGGAGCTGACGGCGCTGGAGGAGCTGGATCTGAGCTACTTCGACGGAGAGATCACGGAGGGCCTCTTGCCGGCGCGGATCTGTGCGAGGCTGCGTGTCCTCAGTGTCAGCTGGTGCCCTGCCGTGAGGAGGGTGCCGGAGGGGCTGACGGCGCTGGAGGAGCTCGACGTGAGTGGCTGCGAGCAGCTGGACGGCGAGGCGTTCCTGCCCGCGTTGTCCGCTGCGGGGCTGCGAGTGCTGAAGGCCTCGCACAGCAACATACGAAAGCTGCCGAGGGGCATGGACGCGCTGGAGGAGCTGGACGTGGGCGGTTGCGAAGAGCTGGACTGGGAGGACGCGGCGGAGGCACTGGGCGGCGCTGCGAGGCTGCGGGTGCTGCAGGCACGCAATAGCGACATGCGGAGGCTGCCGGAGGGGCTGTGCGCGCTGGAGGAGCTGTATGTTTATGGGTGCAAGAGTCTGACGGGCAAGCTGGAGCAGAGCGTCGCGGACCGTCTGCGTCGGTGGGACGTTAGGGGGACTCGGCTGGTGCTGCCAGAGGGGATGGAGGAGACGCACTATGGGTGAGGTGGATGCGGATCTGCTTTAGGATGCCGACGGCCCGTGTGAAGCCCCGCGTCATGGTCGCTCACATCGTGTCTCGCCGCGCTCTCCCGTCCCCGTCCGGGCGCCCTTGCGGCACACAGTGTTGTTGTTGCAGCCAAGCTCCCGTGCCGGTGCCTCTGACGCTGCGTCCGCTGAGACGTCGCTGAGCGATTGGATCTGTGCGCACGTGACCGCACATGCTGACGCGCGAATGGAGAGTGCCACACACAACGCAGGACCACCGCCACGTGCACGTGACTGGGCCCCTGCAGCGCGGCACCATTCACGCACGCAACCTCGCACCAGCATCGCGCCCCTCGCGGCCTCTTTCGTGCGCTCGGTCGGTGCCCACGACGTCTGGGGGGAAGGTGGCTGCTGTCAGGGGGGGTGTGTCCTCGGCCGAGCAAGCCGGTATGGGTGCCTCGCCGCGCCGGCCGCGTACACTGGGGAGCGTCCAGCGTCACGGCCACGACGTGAACTCGCAACTCACCGACGCCACCGCACTCGACGTCGCTGGCAGCAGCACGCGTCAAGCAGCGAGGAGCAGCAGGGGTCGGCTCTCCGTGCGTTTGCAGGCGGGCAACAGGTGTCTTCGTGGACAGGTGCGTGACGTGTGTGTAGCTGGCAGTGCGGCGCTGCGTATGCGTGTCCGGGACGCGCCTGCATGCGGCACCGCAGGCGATGCAGCGCAGCCTGGGTGCTTGGCGCGCTGCCGCGTGCGGGTGCCGCGTTGGAGGCGGATGTCAAGCGTGGCGCTACGACGTTGAGTATCCGAAGAACGCGGAATGATGTCGGTCGCGCGTCGCTGTCGCCGCTCAACGTGGTTGCGGGCCCAGTGGATGTGACCTCTCACCTTCGTGTCTCCGTGCGCGCGCAGGAGGCGGCGCACGGGCGCGGGAGCGCGGCACGGCGATCTGAGGCTATCTCAATATGATGCCACGGGGACGGCGCAGCGACATGGGCGCGTCCGGGCGCTCGAAACGCGCACGGCCCAAGCAGCATCAGCTGGAAGACATTCAGTGCGGGCGGGACGGTCCCCTGGCCCGCGTGATCCGTGAGCTGCCGCGCGAGTCGCGCATCGCGCTGGCGGCGACGTCGTCGGCGATGATGGCCGCGGTGCTGGAGAGCTGCGACGGCGCGAGGTGGTGGTCAGGGGACGCACGCAGCCCTCGTGCGGAGCGGCGGGTGGGGCGGACGGTGGCGCGGCGGCTGGAGGGGCGGGTGTCGGAGGAGACGAGGTCGCTGGTCGGGTGGGCGACGGGGCGCGGGGAGTGGGTGGTGTATCACCGCGCAGGCACGTGCGACGTGGGTGTGCCGTCCGCGGTGGTGCGCTTGGAAGCCGGAGATCGGGATCTGCTGCGGGCCCTAGCCCGGACGGATGCCGGCCGGCGTGAGCTGGCGTCGGCGCCGGCGGTGACGGCGGAGATGACGGGCCTGCGGTACGTACGCATGGCGTGCCAGGGGCTGGACATGGAGGGTGTGTGGGGGCGGGAGTGGCTGCCTGCGGGCGTGGCGGCGGGCATCACGGGGCTGAGGGTGTGCGGGACGAGGCTGAAGCGCGTGCCGGAGGGCATGGTCTCGCTCGAGGTCCTGGACGTCAGCTCATGCTGGGAGCTGGAGGGCGAGACGTTCCTGCCGGCGTCGAGCGCGGGGCGTGTGCGGGTGCTCAGGGCCACCTGCAGCAGCCTGCGGAGGCTGCCTGAGGGGATGTGCGCGCTGGAGGAGCTCAGTGTGCGCGAGTGCAGGTTCCTGGACGAGGCGTGCCTGCCGGCGTCGTCCGCGGCGGGGCTGCGTGTGCTGCGCGCCGGCTTCAGCAACCTACACAGGCTGCCCGCGGGCATGCGGGCGCTGCGGGAGCTCCACGTGGGCGGGTGCAAGAATCTGCAGCCTGAGCTTGCGCTGACGGGCGCTGCGGAGCTGCGGGTGCTGAATGCTCCCAAAACGGCGATGCGGGTGGTGCCGGAGGGGCTGACGGCGCTGGAGGAGCTCAACGTGAAGCACTGCAAGTCGCTGGACGAAACATCGCTACGCAACGCTCCCACAGTGCGCGTGCTGAAGGTGAACAGCGCTGGACTGCGGAGGGTGCCGGAGGAGCTGACGGCGCTGGAGGAGCTGGACCTGAGCGGCTTCCCGGGGGAAATCCCGGAAGGCCTCTTCCCGGCGTCGATCTCTAAGAGGCTGCGTGGGCTGAGTGTCCGCTGGTGCCGTGCAGTGAGGAGGGTGCCGGAGGGGCTGACGGCGCTGGACGAGCTCGACGTGAGTGGCTGCGAGCACCTGGACGGCGAGGCGTTCCTGCCCGCGTCGTATGCTGCGGGGTTGCGGGTGCTGAGAGCCTCGCACAGCAACGTGCGGAAGCTGCCGAGGGGCATGGATGCGCTGGAGGAGCTGTATGTGGATTGGTGTATAGACCTGGACTGGGAGGACGCAGCGGAGGCGCTGGGCGGTGCTGCGAGGCTGCAGGTGCTGGATGTGCGTGGTGGCGACATGCAGAGCCTCCCGGTGGGACTGCACGCGCTGGAGGAGCTGTTCGTTGAAAAGTGCGAGCATCTGACGGGCAAGCTGGAGCAGAGCGTCGCGGACCGTCTGTGTCGGTGGAACGTCCAGGGGAGCGGGCTGGTGCTGCCGGAGGGGATGGAGGAGGTGCGTGAATGACGAGGTGCCTGCGGTCCTGCTGAAGGATGCCGGACGACGGCCCGTGTGAAGCCCCGCGTCATGGTCGCCCGCGTCGTGTCTGGCCGCGCTCTTCCGTCCCCGTCCGGGCGCCCTTGCGGCACACAGTGCTCCCGCTGTTGTTGCAGCCAAGCTCCCATGCCGGCGCGCCTCCGATGCTGCGTCCGCTGAGACGTCGGTGAGCGATTGGATCTGTGCGCACGTGACCGCGCACGCTGACGCGCGAACAGGGCGGCACACACATCACGCAAGACTGCTGCCACGCGACTGGATCCCTGCAGCGCAGCACCATGCACGCGCGCGACCGCCACCGCGCGCCAGCACCGCGCCCCTCGCGGCCTCGTCCGTGCGATTGCTCGGTGCGGCCCACGACGTCTAGGGGGAGGTGGCTGCTGTCAGGGGGGTCAAATATATCAAGTGCCCCCTCGCGATGCTCTGGTACTCAGACCTCAACTCGGAGGCTGTTACAGCTTGCGACGGCAAGCCCTGTAACCTGGGCTCTGCCGCCCGCCTTCGAGTCGCGCCCGCCGCTCGAGAGCGCGGCCTTCGCTGAGCCCATCCCCGCTGTCATCCAGGTCCCGTGTGCCGCGCGGCGCTTGCACCCCCTGCTGCGCTGTTGTGGCTACGCAAGAAAGCGGTCCGCATACCGGCCGTCGGTGAGGCGGCACTCGTCGCGGATGCCGAGCAGGCGGTACCTGTTGGCGGCGACGACGTCGTACGCGGGGTCCCGCACGAGGCGCGGCAGCAGCAGGAGCGCGAGGTTGCCCATGGCGCTCCACGGCAGGCCCAGCGCCACGCCGATGCGCAGCACCGCGTCGGACTTGAGGTAGAAGGCCGACTTCTCCACAAGCACGATCGAGGAGATGTCGTCCGGCGACCGCCCGCAGCGCTCGAGCAGGGAGCGTCCCACGTCGCTCTGCAGCGCCGCGAAGCGCACCGAGCCCCTGGGGTTGCGGTCCAGGTCCAGCACGAGGTTCACGCCGCCGTTGCAGAAGTTGCACACGCCATCGTAGAGCACGATGGGCCGCTCGTCGGCGGCGAACGGGTCCGCCACCGTCGCCTCAGCGCGCGCCTCGGGACGTGGGGAAGTGGCCTGCTCCGAGGCCGGGGACGCTCCTGCGACGCAGCGCACGCGCCGCGGCCGAGTGAGCGCGGGCCTCTCAGGGGCAGGTATCAGCGCGCGTGGGCCTCGTGGTCGCCGTGCAGGGCCAGAGCCATCTACGCGCCGCTTCAGTACGTGACAGTCGGCTGGGACGACGGTACCTGTGGCTGCGTGCCGTCTCCGCGCCCCCATCTTGGCGAAGGAGGTGTGTGGTGCTGCTAGAGGTCGCGAGACTGCCCAGGACCTACACAAATGGCGCACATGCGTCGCCCTGGCGAGACAGGACTGCATCGTCAGGGCGCCAGGCCTTCGCGCGGGGCCCAAGACACTCTCGCGCGGGCCGCACCGGACCGTGACCAGCTCTCGGGTGCTCTCGGGTACGGAATCCGGGAGATGGGCGCCTTGCTGGAACGTGAGTACCGCCCACTGTCGTCTGTTCGCTGTGCCTGGCGTCGTGCAGCCAAGAGTGGTCCGCGACACGGTCTGTTTGTGGGCGGGGAACCGACCCCCCCCACGCATCATGACCGCCACACACTGCCGCCGTTCAAGGCCTTCCGGCACGCCGGTGGAGGTACACAGTGGCCGAGAGATCTCACAGGGCTCCAGGGCCAGTCCCAACCCGTCTGTGTCGGCACTCCAGACCTCGCTGAGCGCCCTCCCTGTACCACCCAGGGCGGTCGTCGGCCCGTGGACGTGTGTGCGTGGCGCGCGCGCTGGTGCCACTTTGGCGCGACAGGCGGCTGCGTAGAGTTGCGAACTAGCGGCGAGGGGCAGCATGGTGCTCGGGGCGATCATCGGGGCCGCCCTGGGCGTGGCTGGTGCGCAGCCCTCGCCTCGTGTCTCAGTCTGGAGGCCGCCCAGGCCGCTTGGACGTGCATCCTGCCCGCCTGCCGCAGATCTCGGCCACGACCATGCCTGCGGCGAGGTGCCCGGCGCCGCTGCCTCAGGGGCGGCGGTGTACCCGTCCGTGACTGATCTCTAGTCCCAGCAGGCCGCTGGGGTCACGCGGTTTGCTCCGGGAGGTTTCGAGGCCGCGCAACGCATCGCTGTTGTCCAGAACGATCGGCTACGTCGCCGAACTGCCGCGGTGCTTGCGCGGCACGGGCGCACGCGCGCCTCGTTGTCCAGCCAGCTGTTCCGCGCGGTGCTCGCTGTCGTACCTCTGCGCCGGCATGACCAGGCACCGCCGGGTCTCGTGTCTACGTGGTTCGCTTGCGGCCCCGTCGCGTCGCGAGCGCTCCCAGATTGCGGTGCGCGCAGGCGGTTGGATGCTCTCCGAGAAGATCGTCAAGGCGGAGCCCACGCCGCGCATGAAGGAGCTCTTCGACGAGCTCGACTTCGCAAATGAGCCAAAGTCCGGCGTCCAGGACGTGGTGATCTCGGACGTCCACGACAAGGCTCTCAAGCGCTTCCTTGCCATGGCGCCCCTCTGGACCCGGTGCGCCGCCCTCCGCAGGACTCCCGCGGGTGCCTGCGACGCCCCCCCCGCTTCGAAATCACCCGCTCGCCGCCCCGAGCACCCCGAGCCCGCAGGTTCCCGGACTTCCAGCGCACGGGGTGGGTCAACACCATCCTGGAGCGCCTCTGGCCGCACTACGCGGTGGCCATCCGCACGCAGCTGCTCGAGATGCTTCCGGACATCCTCGAGCAGCAGGTGGGGAAGATCGACTTCATCGAGGCCATCGCGATCGAGGAGCTGGACCTCGGGAAGCGCGCGCCCCGGCTGGGCGGCATGAAGGTGTACGAGTCGAACGAGGACGAGCTGGTGATGGAGACGCCGCTCATGTGGGGGTCGGGCATCCACGTGCGCGCCGCGGCCACGATCCGCGCGGGCAAGGTCTCGATCTACGCGCCCGTCGAGGTGTCGCACCTGATGATCAACAGCCTGGTGCGCATCACCTTCTCGCCGCTGGCGGAGACGATCCCGTGCCTGGGCGCGGTGCACGTGTCGCTGCTCGAGCAGCCGTACATCGACTTCGACGTCAAGATCCTGGGCAACACGGACGTCATGTCGCTCCCGTTCGTGGGGTACCTGGCGCGGCAGGCCATCGAGGGGGTGCTGCAGGAAATGGTCGTGTACCCGAACAGCCACTCCTCGGACATCCTCCCGAACGGCGGGCGCGAGGAGCCCGCGCACGGCATGCTGCACGTGGTCGTGAGGCGCGGGAAGGACCTCAAGCGCGGGATCAACTTGGGCGCGCTGAAGCAGGACCCGTACGTGTCGATGTGGACGCGCAAGGACCGCCGCACGCGCACGACGACGAAGCAGAACGACTCGAACCCCGTGTGGGACGAGGAGTTCTACATCCTGGTGCACAACAAGGAGGAGGACGTGCTCACGCTGCGCATCTGCGACGACGACTTCGGCGCCGGGCACGACGACGTGCTCGGGGAGCTGCGCGTCCCGCTGACGACCGGGGACGGCCTGAAGTGCGTCCAGGCGCCCGGCCAGTGGTTCACGCTGACGGTCGAGGCCACGAAGGGCAAGGGCAACGTGACGGTCGACATCAAGTACATCCCGTTCAAGCAGAAGAAGAAGACGGAAGACAAGGACGCGGTCACGAAGGGCGGGCGGACGGTGGTGTCCACGAAGGAGATGGAGAGCGGCAAGTACGACCCGAAGGACGTGCGCGACGTGGGCGAGGACAGCCTGGCGCCGGAGGACGCCGCCGCGCTGAAGAAGGTCGCCAAGAACCGCATGGCCCAGATCGGCGCGGTGCTCAAGTGGGGCGCGCAGCACGGCGGGGTGCGGGACATGCAGCGCACCAAGGGCGTACTCACGGTCAAGCTGCACTCGGCCATTGCGCTGGACGACGCGACGGGCGGGTGCGACCCGTACGTCGTGCTGTCGCTGGTGGACCCGAACCGGCCGCGGCCGATGCAGCAGCAGAGCAAGGTCATCATGAACGACCGCGAACCGCGGTTCGACGAGACGTTCGAGTTCGTGGCCGTCAGCGCGCTGTCGCAACTCAAGCTCGAGGTGTGGGACAAGACGACCGGGTCGGAGCGCGCGAAGAACCTGCTGAAGCTCAAGCTCAAGAGCAGCGGGAAGGACGTCTTCATGGGGCGCTGCACGATCCCCGTGAAGGACGTGTCGCGCAACGGGCGCATCAAGGACGACTTCCCGCTGCAGGAGGTGCAGAGCGGGCGCGTGGTGGTGACGCTGACGTGGACGGAGGTGCGCGTCGACCTCGAGCGGTACGAGAAGGACAGCCTCGCGCACCCGTCGGACGAGACCCTCAAGAGGGTGGCCGAGGCGAGCCTGACCTAGTGCGAGTGCTCGTGATGTGACCCGGAGTCGAGACGACGCAGATCGGTGGGGCGCGGGGCGTCACAGATCGGTGGGCACTTTCTGCTGCCGTCTCCGCCCGTTGCTGACGCGCCTCTGTCGGCCACGGCAACTGTTGGGCAGCGCCGCCGCTTCGCTCTCAAACGCCGGCTGCGCCAACACCTCGAGGACCTGCACGGTGCCGCAGCACTCGACTCGGAAGCCGCTGCCAACGCTGCCGTGCGTCATCTTCAGCACCTGCCGAATCAGCGAGGCATGGCGATCTTCGCTCGCGGCATCGAGGATCTGCTACAAGCTGACTCTGTCACAGCTGCCGAACCTGTCGCTACGATGACGGTGGAGGGTTGACATGACTCGCCACCTAGTCGGATGATCTTTTCAGGTCCCGAAGCCTTGTTGCTGACGACGCGAGGAATGTTGCACCTCACCTCAATGCGGGCGCGGCGTCGTGCGCGGTCGGTGCGACGCAGGCCGCAACTCGTGTGGCGGCTCATCATGACACATCTGTGCACCAGTTACATGTTCCCGCCCTAGGTGTGCTCGCCGGCTGACCTCGACCCCGCTCGAAGTGGGGGCCCAACATCAGCAGGCCGCGTCGGCGCCGCCTGCCCGCTCCCGTGCGCGCCCTCCAACCCCATCATGTTGTCATGTCTCCCTTAGTCCCTGCTTAGTCCCGCGCACGAGTACCGCCACCGGCCCGCCCGCGCGCGCCGGCTTCGTCCATACGTGGCAGTGGGCGCGTCCGTGTCCGTTCGCCGCCCGCCTCACCGCTCGCGCGGCGGCTGCAGCTGCCACATGTGGATGAAGCTGTCCGGGAGCGGCTTGCCGCCGTTGTACTTGTTCACCCACGCGTTCCTGGCGTCCTCGATGGCCGACATCTTCTGCGGCGAGAGCAGCAGCATCTGCACGTTCTTCCCCATCCACGCCGGCACGCCCCCGCCGGTGCCCAGCCCGGCCATCTCCGCGACGAAGTGGATGATGTTCCCGATGGCGATGCGCCGGTTCTGCGCGTCCAGGAAGACGTCGAACTCGTCCAGCGCGTAGAACCCCGCGTCGACGAGCTCGCCCATGGAGAGGATGAGCGACAGCGACGTGTAGCTGCGCTCGCCCCCGGACAGCGTCTTGAGCTCCGTGGCGGCCTTGTTCTGCCCCTTGATCGTCACCTCCACCGTCATCATGCCCGCGTCGTCGTCGAACCCGAGCGACCCCTTGTGCCCGCGCCGCTTGATGAAGTCGCTGAACTTGTTCGTGCACAGCTGCTGCCACCCCACGATCTGCTGCTCCAGCTTCTCCTCGCGCGCCGCCACCGTGTGCTCCAGCTCGAAGCACGGCTCCATCGCGTCCTTCAGCGTGTCCGCCAGCTCGCTGTGCCGCATCTTCGCCTGGATGTGCTTCGCCTGCGTGCGCCGCAGCAGCCGCTCCACCTCGCCCTCGTTCTCGTGCAGGTTCTGCCCGTCCACGCCCGCCTCCGCCAGGATCGCCCGGACCTTCCCGGCCTGCCGCCGCTGCAGCAGCTCCAGCTTCTTGTCCACGTCCAGCGCGTCCGCCGCGCCCGCGCCCGCGCCCCCCCCGCGCGACCCTGACCCGCGCTGCCCCTCCTGCAGCACCGCCTTGCACCGCTCCATGGCCGCCACGCCCTCCGCCTCCCCGCACGCCGCCGCCGCCTGCCGCTCCAGGCCCTCGCACGTCCGCGACATCCGCTCCAGCGTCTTCCGGCGCTCCCGCAGGTCCGCCTCCTTCTCCCCGCGCGCCTTCTCCGCCTTGGCCAGCCGCGTCCGCCACTGGTTCTGCATGTTCAGCTCCTCCTCGTACCGCTCCTGCAGCTTCGACATCGCCTCCTTCCGCGTCGCCAGCTCCTTCATCAGGCCCTGGATTGTCCCCTGCAGCGCCTCCACCGACGTCTCGATCTCCCGGATCTCCTCCTCCACGCGGCCCCGTTCCAGGCGCGCCGCATCCAGGTCGCGCTCCAGCTGCAGCAGCGCGCCCGCGTCGTCGTCCTCGCCCGCCGCGGGCCCGGCCTGCTCCTCCGGCCCGCCGTCCTCGAGCTCGACCCGCAGCCGCGCCTCGGCGTCGTTGGCCTGCCGCGCCGCCGCCTCCGCCGCGCGCAGGTCCGCCGCCCGCTGCTTCTCCGCCCCCTGCGCGGCGCGCGCGCGTTCCTGCGCGGCGCGGAGGTTCCCCTCCTCGCCGCGCACCTGGTGCTCGAGCCGCGCGATGACCTGCTGGACGTCCACCTGCCCCGGCGCGCCCACGGCCAGCTTGTTCTGGCGCTCGTCCGGGCGCAGCTGCCGGCGCGACTCCACCACGCCGCGCAGGCTGAACTGCGCCTCGGCCGTGTACACCGAGTTGATCACCCTTCGGCGCGCCTCGGGGCTGCGGAAGGCCCAGTGGGTGGCCTCCTCCTCCGACTCCGCCAGCACGACGCGCTCGGCGCGGCACTGGTCGATCAGCATGTTGCGCACGACGGTCGGGCCGGCCGCGTGCATGCCGCGCAGTGCGGCCTCGTCGACGTGCAGCACCTGCATCAGCGTCCTGAGGTGCTGCGGCACCGCGTCGCGCGACGTCACGTCGATCGCGGGGCGGTTGAACGAAGTCTGGTAGATCTGGAACCAGTGCGGGAGGCCGCCGCGGAAGTGCGTCTTGGCGATCTGCATCAGCGCCCGCCGGTCGGCGTCGTTGTCCACCACGAAGGCGAACATCGTGAACTTGAGCACCGACTCCGCCGCCGTCAGCCACCGCTCGTCGTCCACAGACAGGAACCGCCCGAGGGGGCCGATCGCGGGCTGCCGCAGCCGCCCCGCGCCGTGCGCCCGTGCGGCGTCCTCCACGATGGCGCGCATCACGCGGCCCTGCCCGTGCGGCGCGCACCGCTCGTTGATGTTGCCCCCCGACGCCGCCTTCTCCTCCGCGACGCGCTTGCGCAGGTCCGTGAGCACCTGCTTCTGCCGCGCCACGTCCGCGTCGGCGCTCTGCGCGTCGCCCCGCGCCCGCGCCACCTCCTGCCGCCGCTGCTCCGCCGCCTGCACCGCCTCGCGCATCCGCTGCAGGGCCGCCTCGTGGCTGTGGCGCAGCTCCACGGCCCGGCGTTTGGCCGCCTCGATGCGCGCGTTGCGCTCGGCGTTGTCGCGCTCCCGGTTCTGCTCAAAGCAGTTGATCTGGAACTGCAGGTCCGCCTCGCGCTCCCGGATGCGCTTCGCCTTGCCCTCCGCATTCTGCCTCTTCCGCCCCAGGTCCGTCCGCTCCTTCAGCAGGCTCCTGGTGTCCCGGCTCTTGTTCTCCTCCGCAAGCTGCTTCAGCTCCCTGCGACGGACGGGAAGCGCACCCGGGCGCACACGCGTCACGCAAGCACGCCACAGCGGCAACACCCGCGCACGCGCGTCGCCCCCTGCCCCCGCAGCCCCCCCCCTCCCTCGTCTCACCTGTCTGCGGCGCGCGTGCTGTCCTCGTACTTGCTGATGGCCGCCTCGATCTCGACCTTCTTCGCGTCGATCTTCTCGATGATGGCCTCCGCCTCGCCCACGCGCGCGCCGCACTGCTCGACCTTCTTCCGGCACTGCATCACCGCCTCCCAGCGGAAGGCCTTCTCGATGTCCGCGCGCCTCTTGTGCGCCTCCAGCGCCGTCTCCATCGCCACCACCTTCTTCTTCAGCGCGCGCTTGTCCGCCTCCGCCTCCGCCAGCTCCCCCTCCATGCCCCGCGCCGCCTCCTTCACCGCCGCCATCTGCTTGTACGTGTGCGCAATGTCCTCCCGGATGCGCGGGATCTGCAACGCACAGCGCAGCGCGACCGCCGCCCAGCGCTCTCTCTCCAGGACCGCGCAGACAAACGCACACGGGCACGCACGCACACGCACACACATGCGAACAGGCGGGCGGTGCTCGTGCGCCCCCGCGCCCTCACCTGCATGGCCGACTGCCACAGCTGGTAGAGCTTGGCCTGGTCGCCCTCGATGAGGAGCTCCTTGGCGGTCGTCTGCGTCAGGACCTGTACGGGGTTCGCGCCGTCCACGTTGAGCGCGTTGAGCATCTGCGTCAGCTCCGCGACCTTGACCGAGCGCTGCGCCACGTTGCCGTTGGCGTCCAGGAGGTCGACCGTCGACGTGCCCGACGCGCCCGACCGCTTGATCGTGCGCCGGATCCCGATCACCTCCCCGAACACCTCGGGCCGGTACGCGTCCGTCCCCGTGTTCCACAGCTCCACCAGCGCCGTCGCCTTGTCGTGCCCGTACATGATCAGGTCGCACAGCTTCGCCGACCCGCGGGTGTCGCGCGCCGTCGCGCCCGTGCAGATCTGGATCGCCGCGAGCACCGACGACTTCCCGGACCCGTTGCTGCCGCACACGAAGTTCAGGTACGGCCCGAAGTCCACCACGAAGTTCTCGTGGCACATAAAGTGGATCACGCGCACGCGCTTGATCTGGCCCGCCAGCCCCTTGCCGGACAGCAGCGGGTTCACGTTCTCCACCGCCGGGCCGAAGCCCGCGCTCGGACCGGCCCCGGCGCGGTGCTTCTTGTGCTTCTTGGCGGGCTTCTCCTTCTCCCTCCGCCTCTGCTTCTGCGGGGCGCAGCGGGCGCAGAACCAGGGCGGACGCGGTCGGAGACGGAGCAGGGAGCGCGCGGGGCGGGGGCGGAGGGCCGCGGAGCGCGCCGGGGGGCGGTGCGGGGGACGGGCTGCCAAAGCACAGTGCACGAGGGCGGCGCGCGCGCACCTGGGTCCGCTCGGCCTCGTAGTCCTCGTCCACGATCATGTCGCAGTCGGAGTCGTCGTCCTCGACCTCGGAGTCGACTTGCTTGCGCTTCGTCCGCTTCTGGGTCTGCGAAAATCAAGCGGGGGGCAGGGAGACGTCGGAACGAGGCCGCGGCGCCGGGCAGCGGCGCTGGTGACCGTCACAGCGCACGCAGGAGGATGCGCTGCGCGTCGCCCCGGGCGGTCTGTCGCGGCCCGGGCGCGCTGCGGCCGCGCACCGGCGAGCTTCTTTGGCAGTGGGTTGGGCGCGGGAGGCGGGCAAACGTGGGCGGGGCATCACCTTCGCGCCCTCTTGCAGCGCATCCTCGAGGACGCGGCCGTCCACGTCGTCCTCGTCGGTCCGGCGCGCCTTGCGGGCGCGCAGTTCCTGCGTGCGCGCGTCGTCTCCTGCCGCGTCGTCCGAGGCGAGCGTTGCCGGGGGCATCTGGGTGTCTTTCGCGGCCAGTGCGGCGGCGGAAGCGCTCCTGCGACCACGAGGATCCCAACCAGGTTTGTTAGGATCCGCATTCTGCCCGGCTGCGGCCGCGAAGTTCGAGTGCCAGCCCTGAAACTCAAATGACAGAGCGCACGCCGTCACTGGGAGGGGGCGCGTCGCCGGAAACGCGACGGGTTCGCTGCAGGAGTATTCAGAGAGTCCGCCCTGCATCGCCCTGGCGCGATGTCCCGCGGAACTGGACGTTCGGCACGGGCAATGAACGTTCGGGGGGGCAATGCCGCAGCCCGCGTCGACCGAGCGGCGTCCGAGCGGCATCGCTGCGCCGCCTCTTCCGATGAAGAAGCCGCGCCGCGACTCGAGGCACGCGACGGCGCGGCGCACGCAGCATACCTGTCAACGTTCCGGGATCGCTCAGCCGGCCGGCCTCTCGGCGTGACGAGGTCCTCCACGGACATCCCACTCGGCCTGGGCGCGAGCAAACGCGTTCGTTGCACGGGGCGTCGCCTCCGGATTTCCGTTCCGGGCTCCGCGACGCTTGCAGGCGGAAAAACTCGTCGTCCCTGCTTTGCGTGCTGGGCTGCGCTGCCGTGGCCGTCGCGCGCTGGATGGACGTGCGAGCGAGCAGAACGCCGTGTCGCAGGTACTGCGAGGGCAGTCGGCTTCAAGGGAGCTTCGAACGCCGGCACAGCGGCGCGCGAAGCCAACGTGGGCGAGGTGGTTGCCCTGCAGATGCAGTCACGCTGCCACGGGAGGCTCCAGCGCCTGGACGCCTCCGCTGTACGCTCGGGAATGCCGAGGGGCGCGAGCGGCCCGCGCCCTGGACCCCGCACGGCGCCGCAGCTCGCGCCCTCCAGGGCGGAGACTCCAGTCTCCAGTCCAGGGACGGAGACTCCAGTCTCCAGTCGGGCGTGAGTCGGACCTCCCGCCGCGGCGCTCGCAGGGCCCACCATGTCAGCGCGATGCGTGCGCGTGACTGCAGTCGATGCGGAGGTGCCCCGTGGCTGCACTGTCTAGCAAGCGAGCGGCGCAGACAGCTTCCCGCCGCGCAGAGGCTCGAGCGCGCTGGGCGTGCCCAGCAGCTTGCCCGGGGGCATCTGCACGCCTCCCGCGCGGGTTGGCGCCGTGATGAGCCGCCCAGCGATCTGCTCGAAGAACATCGGGGAGTTCCTTCGCAGCGCGTCGTCCGGAGACCACGCGGAGGGCGACAAGAGGCGCATCACAGCAGGTGCGCCGCGGGACGCTGCGGCCGCCGCGACGCCCACGACGCGCGCTGCGGAGCACGAGTGAGGCCGACAGGGCTGCCGGGGCGCGGTGCGTGCAGTGAAAGCGGAGGCCGCCCGGGGAGCGTCCCTGCTGCTGGAGAGCATGCTTCGCGAGGCCGTCAAGCGGGCGGACGCGGCGCGCGAGCTCGAGGGGGACGGCGAGATCGGGCACCGCCACGTGGAGATGATCCTCCCGCAGCTGATGCTGGATTTCTTCTGAGCCGCACAGCGCCCCCTGCATTGCATGTCGCACGCAGCCAGCGCCACACCCACCCGCGCCTGTGCACTGGAAGGCCGCCTGCGCCAGCGCAGCGCTGCACCCGAACCGGCGCCGCGGACGTGCCGCCCAGGCCGTGCTCCTGATGACGACGGGACCTTACACAGAAGACAGGGAACTATGATAATAATAACAACAATAGGACCCGCCCCCCCCCGCAGTCGCACACCACCCAGGCGCCGCGCGTGGCTGCATGAGGGTTGGGACATTTCCGTCCTCATGCACACGACGCCACCGTGCTGACGGGGGGGAGGACCGACGAGGAGCTAGCCCACCCTCATGAGCAGGGGCCTACGTCTGATGCTGCTCCATCGGGATGCCGCGTGTGGTTCAGACATGGAGTGTAAGCCCGCCCAGGCCGTGCAAGAGAGCCGGTCCAAGCGTCACCATCCTGTGGGGTATAATCACCAGTCACACGCGCGACGGCGTCGGGCCGATGCGGCGTCGGACGCTGCCCGGCGCCCGCGAGGCTCGAGGCGCCGGCGGGGCCACGGCCATGCGAAGAACGATCGTCGGCGCCAGCTGTGCTCGACCGGTTCGTCCGTGCGCGCACCTCGGCGGGTCTCGTGTTGCGCTGCCGCAGAGGCCGCTGTCGCAGGGCTTGGTGCGTCGCACACGCGCACAGGGGGGCGCGATGCCGCTCGCGCACCACACTCTCCGCTGGTCGGGGCAGAGCGTGCGGGAATCATGCGCGCGCCAGCGGTGCACGGCTGCTGCGAGGGGTTGCATGCGGCCCGGGGGGCGCCCTCGTGCCCAGAACGTGCCGCGCCGCGTCGAACGGGCGATCTCCGCACGTGCATCGAAGTCATGGATCAGCAGCCGCGGCGAGGACGCCATGCACGCGGTGTGCCGCCCGCCGCGCCTGTCAGCCACCAAGCCAGCCAGCTGCTCGTCGCCGCGCACCGCTGTCTTGTCTGCGGGGACGACTCACGAGAAAACGAGTCCCCCCAGCATCGCAGGATGACGTCACGCCCGCGTCGCAGGGGGAGCTCGTCCCGGAAGGCCCGGAGGAGCTCGTTGCTAGTGAGCCTGGTACCTTCCCTCCTCCGAACCTCCGTCGACGGACGCGCATTGCCCGCGCGGCACCGTCGTACCGCACGCGACAGCGCCGAACATCGCTCCCCTGCCCCCCAGCGCCGCCGCCGCGCCGTCACCGCCACGCGGCCATTGGTTGTGCCACTCACGCGCGCAGGTTTGGACTTCAACGGCGACCCCATCGCGCAGGACGACCTCGCGCTCATCGGTGGGATCATGGGCGCGCACGGCGTGTCGGGCGAGCTCAAGGTCAAGCCGATCACGGACGCCCCCGAGCTTCGCTTCGGCCAGCCTGGTCCGCGCTTTCTGGGGCCCGACTCGCGCCGGTACCAGTCGAAGCTGGTCCCGCCGCGGGAGGTCAACCTGCTGGGCGGCCGCAAGGTGCTGGCGAAGGGCGCGGAGGCGTGGATCGTGCGGCTGGAGGGCGTCGAGACGCGGGAGGCGGCGCAGGCGCTGTCGGGGCAGTCGCTGTACGTGCACGTGGCGGACCGGGAGGACATCGAGGAGGAGGGGCTGTTCTACGTGCAGGAGCTCGTGGGGATGGAGGTGTACCTGCAGAACGCGGAGGACCCGGACGTGGTGGGCGCCAAGGTCGGGACGGTGGTGGAGGTGTGCGACGGGACGGGCACGCACGACGTGCTGCGGATCCGGCGCGTGGAGTCGGACGAGGCCGGGGAGGAGCGCACGACGCTGATCCCGTTCGCCAAGGAGATCGTGCCGTACGTGGACCTGGAGGACAACGTGATGGTCATCACTCCCCCGGAGGGGCTGCTGGACCTCGTCACCAAGGGGCCGTGGCAGGGCGGGCGGCGCAGGGACGGGCGGTCGCGCGCGCGGAAGGGCGGCCGGAGCAAGAAGCGCGACAAGGCGGCGGCGGCGCGTGAGAGCCGGCAGGGCGGGAGGGCAGCCAACTGACGGCCGCGCGCTTCGACGCGGAGTGTGAGCGCGCAACCACGGCCGGCGTGAGCGCCCCGGACGCCCCGGACCGTGCCTGTGCGGAATGCGCCGGCACTGCGGTCGCGCGTGCCTGACGTGGCAAATGATGTCAGGACTGAGTCATGCCGATTCTGGCAGGGCCCGAGCTCCACACATTGCGGCGGCGCACGTGCGCAGCCTTGTTCGTTGTCGTGGGCGGCCGTGGTCTGACAGTTCCGTGGCGACGCGCGACGAGGGCCGGTGTCAAGTGCTGTGTTGCAGTTGGTCCCGTAGCACAGCCCCACAGGGGGCGTTGCCGGTGATTCTGCGACAGGCGGCATGTCATCATCTGTGTGTAGGATGTGCGGATCATCGGTTCCTCGGAGGGCCACATTTCAGGCCAGTGGACCCTGCGCGAGGAGCGCGGTCCGGGCCTCGGCGGCGTCACTAGGGGGAGGTGCGCATTTCGGAGCAATCAGACCGTTCGATCTGGAACGATTCTTCGCCAAGTACGAGTTCAGCGCACCACACCTGCTGTGCTGTTCGGACTGTGAGCCTGCCACGATGCAGGTGCGAGTCCTGTCCAGCGACCCTCCGGCCCGCGCACAGCGCCCCGCATTTTCCGCCAGACTGTCAGAATCCGGCACTCATCACATACGACACGACATCTGGATCACGCCTCCTCCGGTTCCGCATTCACACCCTCGGTAGCCGCACCCAAGTGGCAGTACTGCCGCGCGCCCTTTGCTGTGCAGGAAATCCTGGAGCTGGCCGACGACGACGCCGCGCACATGTGGCGAACCCTGTCGCTGGGGTACACGGAGACCCAGGGCCTGCCGGAGCTGCGCGAGCAGATCGCGGCAGGCTACGCGGGCGCCGTCGCCAGGGAAGACGTCGTCGTTTCCGCGCCCCAGGAGGCCATCCTGCTCGCCATGCACGCCGTCCTGCGCCCCGGCGACACCGTCGTGGCCACGTCGCCGGGGTACCAGAGCCTCACGGAGGTCGCGGAGAACATCGGGTGCTGTGTGCGTCTCTGGCGCCCCACGGGATGGGGGCAGGGGGAGCTGCGCTTCGACGCGAGCGACCTGGCCGACCTCGTCGACGAGCACACGAAGATGGTCGTCGTCAACTTCCCTCACAACCCGACGGGCCTCACCCTAGAGGCTGACGCGTGGGACGAAGTGGTGAGCGTGTGTCGCGGGGCGAACGCGTACTTGTTCTCGGACGAGATGTACCGCCTCCTGGAGTTCGACGAGAGCGACAGGTGAGGGGCAGCCCGTTGCGCGGCGTGCGTGGCCGTCCGCCGGACGCTTCGGCGAAGCGGTCGAGTGCCGCCTGTGTCGCCACATACAGGCATTGCGCCCCTTCCGCGCAGACTACCCGGGGCCGTCGAGGTGTACGACAAGGGCATGTCATTGTCGGGACTGTCCAAGACGATCGGGCTGCCGGGCGTGCGCATCGGCTGGATCGCCTGCAGGGACGGCGATGTCATCCGGCGCATGCTCGAGCTCAAAGACTTCACGACGATCTGCTCGAGCGCCCCCAGCGAGGTGAGCGTCACGCGGCGCTGCTCCGGCCCCGTTCTGTGCCCGCGCCGCCCGCCCACCGCGCTCGCCGTCCCGCGTGGCCCGCCGCAGGTGCTGGCGCTGATGGCGCTGCGAGCTCAGGACACGCTTCTGGGGCGGAGGAGAGACCTGGTCCGAGCAAACAAGCAGCGTGCCGAGGAGTTCTTCGCTGGGCTCCCGGAGAGCTTCGCGCTGCAGCCGCCCCAGGCCGGCCCTGTCGCATTCCCACGGCTGACCACGGGCCAGGACGTGGGGGCGTTCTGCGAGGAGGTGGTGGGCGCGTGCGGGGTCCTGCTGCTGCCCGCGACGGTGTACGGCGACCCCGACGCCACGCGGCAGGGGCACTTCCGCATCGGTCTCGGGCGCAGCAACTTTGGGACCGGTCTCGAGGTCCTGCAGGACTTCCTCGCGGCGAGGCGAGACGCGCCAAGCATTTAAGATCACAGCGAAACACGTCCTGCGCGATATTTTGCCGATCCGGTGTCGAGGGCGCCACCGCGTGCAGACACGCTGCGCCAGCCTAGACGCGGTAGGCTCCGGGGCCGGGCATGACGGCGCTGGCGCCGAGGTCGTCCTTGAGGCTGCGCTGCGTCGTGCGCGCCTTGGTGGGCTGGTAGTCCGAGAAGCGCCCGCCCGAGCCGAACCCGAAGGAGGGCGACGTCTTGCGCGGGGACACCGACTGGCTGCCGATGCTCGAGTAGGCCCGGTACTTGGATGGCCCGGGCGACGCGCTCCCGAGGATGGCGCGCTCGTGGTCCTTGCTGATGTACACGCGCGCGGCGGCGCTCCGCGTGGTGGAGGGGAACTTGGTGGTGGGCGACGTGCTCTTTGTGGCGAGCAGCTGCGGGCCGAACGACACCGTGCTGGAGTAGGACCCGGGCGCCGGGTCGTCCATGTAGCTGGGCGGGCTGCGCTTGTTCGTGCCGCCCACGCCGAAGTCGTACCGCGGCGCGGTGCCGCCCATGGAGTACTTGGGCCCCCCCGTGCCGATGTAGCTGACCGGGTCGCCCGGGCCGGGCGTGGCGGGGATCTCGTAGTACTCGTTGCGGTACGACGACCACCTGCGCGCGGGGGCGGGGCCGGCCGCGGTCGGCGCGCGGGGCGGCGGGGCGAAGGACCGGCGCGGGGGTTTCTGGCGGGGCCGCAGCGGACCTGTTGCCGGTGCGGTTGCCGACCGCGGTGCTCGTACGTGCGTTCGACACGATCTGCGGGCCGATGGAGCTGCGGCAGCTGCTGTACTGCCCTGGGCCGGGCCCCCCGATCATGGCGCCAGAGGCGAGGTGGTCGCGCGCGCCCACGGTCCAAGACGGCTGCGTCTTCTTGTAGGATTGCGACTGCGGCGAGAGGGGGCGAGGCGGGCGTTTCCGATGGCACGAAACGCACGGGCGACGTCGGGAAGCAGCGGGGAGCCCCAAGGCCTTGACCACCCACCCGCGCGGCGAGGAAGCGCTCGAGCTGCTCTCGACGCCCCGCGCAGGTGCGGCACGCCGTCCGCTGGATGCGGCACTGCGACTTCTCGTCCGAAAGTCCGCGCGCACAGGCCAAAGGCGAGGGTCGCGAGGGTGCAGTTGGGCATTGCGAGCGCCTGCCCCAGGTGCAAAGCCAAAGCTCATCGCGCCGGCGTCGGCACCTTCTCTACGACAGGTGCGTTTCCGCGCGATGCCTCGTCCGGCCACCAGCGCGCCTCGGCGCAGGGGCACACCAGCCCTCGGGCTGCCAGTTTCCGTGGCGCGTGGGGCGCCGTGGAGGGTCCGATGTCTCACCTGGCGGCCTATACTGCTCTCGTAGTTGTGTGTGAATCCAGGCGAGGCCGTGTTGAGCTTCTGCCTGCTGTACGTGTCGATGAACCGTGCCTGTGGGTTGGCACTGAAGGCGGTGCTCGGCGCCGTGGCACGGTGGCTCTCGAGCTGGTCGCCAAACATGGAGCGCGTGCCGGCGGTGAGGTACTCCATCGGGGCCGTCATGGTTGCGTGCTAGCTGGCCGACGCCCGCGCAGGGCAGGTGCAGCCACCGCAGGGGTCACAGCGCCGCTGCGCCCACCACGGCTCGCCTCGAGTGCTCTGGATCAGCAGAAAGTGTAGCTTGATGTCGACGTAAACCAAAACGATCAATCAACGTCCGAATTGCCGCGCTGCGACGGCGGCGCGCACCCTTGAGTCCTGCAGGGGGGGGGAAGGTGGCCGTGTTAGAACCCGCGCCGCGTCGGGCCAGAGAAGCCCCGGGCCGGCCGCGGCGCATCTCCCAAAGATCCAGTAGGATGGATGGGCGGAGAGAAGGACAGTTGCGGCCCGCACTGGCCGTCCTGCCGCGGGTGCTCGCATGTGGGTCCGCTACATGCCAAGGGCAGCCGTTGCTGGCTCGCTCCGTCGAATGTCGCCACGCTACCGTGCGCAGCGATCGCGTTTGTGCCATGGCAGGCAAGGCCTCCAACCCGCTCGCTCGTGCGCGCCACCGGCCGTCGCGCGGCAGGCAAAAGCTGCCGCAGCCAGCTGCTACATGATCGTGTGGCCCACGGCTGCCTCACGCCAACAGCATGCGCCGGGCGCAGCGAGGGGGGCGAGACACACGCGCCGAGGTCGCCCAGGCGCCTCAGGCAACTGTTCAGCGTGAGCCGTCATCGTTTGTCGCAGTCACACACGAATTTCCACGCACACACAGACTGACGCGCTATCGCGCAGTCACCTGTGCGGTCCGCCCAGACCAAACGACGGCCTCGCCGCCCCCCGCGTCCCCGCGACCCCTCGTGTCCGCCCGCGACCCGGCGCGCACCCCAAGTCGGAAAGGTGGAAAACCCGACCCGGTCCGCCCGCCGAGCGCGCGGGGACCCCCCCGACGCGGCAGCGGCGCGCCGCCGACGCTACCAGGACGCCCGGCGGGCGCCCGGGCGTCCGCGCTATCACTTCGCACGAGCTAGGAGACTATGCAGGCGTCGCGGCTCAGGCCGTGGGGTTGGCCCGCTTCATGATGTTGGGGTCCGTCTGCTGGCGCAGGACCTCGGCGTCATCGACGACGTAGTGGTCCTGCTTGAGCGAGCGGAAGTACTCCTTGATCAGGTGGAAGGGGAAGGGTCCGGGGGCCTTCTTGGGCTCCTTGTAGTAGTCCCCCAGGACGGGCTTGATGGCGTTGGTGGCCTCGCGCAGGTTGTAGTGCGGGATGGTGGGGAAGAGGTGGTGCGCGACGTGCGTGCCGATGTCGTGGTGGATGCTGTTGAACATGCCGTAGTCGTGGTCGCGCGTCGAGAGGCCGCCGCGGAGGTACGACCACTCCTCGCCGCGGTACCACGGGACGACGTCCTCCTCGTCCGCCGCGCCGTGGTGGTGCATGAAGGTCACGAAGTCCAGCCACGCGACGTAGACCAGCCAGGGCATCCAGTAGAGCTTGAACATAGTGCCGATGCCGAGGGTGGCGGCGAGGACGCCCTGGAGGCCGAGGAAGGCGAGCTGGAGCTTGTTGTCGAAGCTCACCATCTTGCCCTCCTCCGCGTTGAACAGCCGGCGGTTGTTCGGGTCGTAGTGCGACCCCTCCTTGCCCGGCGCGCCCTGGGCCAGGTAAATCGGGAAGGCGAAGAGGTTGATGGGCGTGAAGCGGCCGATGATGGTCGTCCACGGCAGCTTGTCGTAGATCGACTTGGTCATCGGCACCCACGACTCGTCGTTCTCGATGTGCCCGTGGTTGGCGTGGTGCGTGCGGTGCGAGATGCGCCACCCGTTGTACGGCACCAGGATCGACGTGTGCGTGATGCGGCCGATCCACTGGTTCAGCGCCGAGTTGCCGGAGAACGAGCCGTGCCCGCAGTCGTGCCCGACCACGAAGAGCGCCCAGAACATGGTGCCCTGCGCCAGCCAGTAGAGCGGCCACACCAGCCACGAGTTGGCCGTCGCCGCGAAGTACGCCAGCGCCGCCACCACCACCACGTCCTTGATCAGGTAGTCCATCGACCGCCAGCTGTCGCGCTCGAAGCAGTGGTCTGCGGACACGGATGCGGGCCGCCAAGCGTGGTGGGCCAGAGATGCAACAGGTGCGCGATGGGCGGGACCCGGCCGCCCGCGCGCACGGAGCGGCGGCCCGGGAGGAGGACGCTGAGCGGTGTCGGCGAGAGGCCGCGTTGATTGGGGCGTTGGCGCGGTGCCTGGGCGCCGGGGCGAGGTGTAAAAGTGGTGGTGGTGCGCGGGAGAGGGAACGTGTGTGGGCGGAATCCGGCGTGGCCCGACCGCGAGGGGCGCTGGCGCGCTGGAATGGGGGAGTGGAAATGTCGAGTGTCCGCTTGCGACGGATCCCACAGCGGGATCTGGCTCGAGCGATCGGCGAGCGCGGATGGAGGGCGAGAGCCGCGGTTGCCCGCTGCGGCCGGCATCGCTGCCCGACATGGCCGCAAGCCGGTCGAAAAGCAAGATGGGTATCTGATGCTCCGCTTGTGTGCGAGGGAGGGGCAACACACAGGCCATCGATGGCAGGCAGCTGGTGCAAGCAGCGAAGCTCGGGCGATCGCTCCGTCCCAGTCGATAGTGGCGCCCAGCTCGGGTGCACCGATCATTCTCGTGAGATTCGAGTAAGAATCGTCGTGTTTTCCGTGCCGCAACGCGAGGGGCGGGGACGAGGCGTCCCCGGCAGCTGTGGTGCCCGCACTCACCAGGGATGGCATCGCGGATGTCCTTGAGGGTGAACGGCGGGGCGGCAAAGTTGCCGGTCCTGGCCTCGTCGCAGTGGGGGCTGTTCGTGGCGGGAGCCTCCACGGACGCCACGCGGCTCACAACCGAGCGCCGCAGCGGGCGCACCCCCACGCGCGCCACCGGGCGCGACGCCGCGCTGGTGGCGCGCACGGTGCAGATCGGCGAAGAGGAAACGGCCTGGGCGAACATCGTGACCACACAGCTGCCCGCCCGCGGCCGCACGCCGCCCCCTTGTGGCCCGCAGACGGCCCCCCCCGCGCCCGTCATGCGGCTCTGAGGCCCTCCCTCAAGCACCGAAACCCGTGGCTGTCCGACCGCACGCGCCCGCCCCGGCACCGCCACGGGGATCCTGTCGCTCTGAACGATCCCGCGAGGGCGGCCGCGTCCGTGTTCGAGTCACCGCCCCGCTGCCCGACGCGGAAATAAGGGCGGCCGTGCCCTAACGTTCGAGGCCCCGCGGCCGCGCAGCGACGCGCAGCCGCAGAGTCGGACGCGAGCACACGGGGTCGCAGGAGATCTGCGAGGCATTTGCGGTGCAATGTCGGGACAAACGGGCGGCGCACAGCGACCGGCAGCGCGCAGCAAACTCTGCAACAAGAAGTGATTGACCACCTGCGCAAGAAACGAAATGCCCCCTCCACGGGTCGCGGACAACGCCTGCGTGGCCCAGCGCGGGGCCTGGCAATCACATGCAGCGCTCGTGTGACGCCGCGAGGACGCGCAGCGAGCAGTGTTGTTGACCTGTCGTGCACCGGCGGCCGGGCGCTCGAAACGCACGCCGCGCGCCGCTACTGCGGCGCCCTGCCCGCCGCCTGCGCCGCCGCGTCTCTGGTGGCCTGCGCCGCCGCCTGCGCCTGCTGAATCCGCTCCCGTTGCGCCTGCTGCGCCACCGCCATCGCGTCCCGGTCCGTGTGCGCCACGTCGACCGCCAGCCCGTCCGCCCCGACGTTCGCGCCCATGCCGAGCCCCTGTGCGGGAACCTGCGTTGCCGTGATTCCGCGGCACACGTCGGTGAGAACAGAGACAAGGACGGAGAGCAGACGGGACGCGGGAGGAGCGAATCTATCGAATGCTCAGTCCTCATCGTCGCGCCGCCGCCGCACCTGGATGCCCCACTTGCGCTCCGCGTGCAGCGCCATGTGCCCGCCCTCAAGCCTCTGTGCCCCACACGCCCGCGCCACCTCGCACCCCACCCCCGCCAGGTCCGCGACGAGCTCCCCCGCGAGCTCCTCCAGCGCGTCGAGGACCTCCGGCTCCATCCGGTCGGCCTCGGCGGCGTACTCCTCCCCCATCGACGTCAGCAACTCCTTCACGCTGCAACAACACCCCACGCGCCCCCCGATGAGTTCCGCCCGCGCCGCGCCAACGCACCTCGCTCAGCCGGTCGGGCAGGGCGGGGGCAGTAGCGGGCAGGACGCGGGGGGGCATCAGAGGGCCAGGGGGGGGTCCCGCACCTGCGTTGAGACAGCACGGCCGGCGGGGCGCCGCGCTGCGCTTGCCACGGCGCGCTGTCGTGGTCCCACGGCGCGCGTGGCGCGGCCTGCGTCGCGGCGGCAGCGGGTCTCTGCTGCAGCTGCTGCTGCTGCGCCGCCGCCATCGCCACCCGGTTCTTGGCCCGCGCGTCCACCGCCGCTTGCGCCTGGGCCGCCCGATGCGCGCCCGGATGCGCGGACGAGACCGGCGGGCGCGTGGCCGGCTGTGCGGTCATGCCGGCCTTAGGCCGGTACTCTCTCCGCTGCATGTGGCTGTGTTGCGCAGCTGCTTGCTGCATAGCCATCGCCTGCGCCTGCATGTGCTGCTGCTGCTGCTGCGCCTGCATGTGCTGCTGCTGCTGCTGCGCCATCTGCGGATGCGCGTACGTTTGCTGCTGCGCTTGCATCTGCTGCATTTGTATGGATGCGCGTACTGCTGCTTGCTGCTCTGGCGGCAAACTCTGGATGTAATACATTTGCTGCTGAGTCAGACCCTGCAGTACACACAAAGGACCGCCCTCAGGTTCGCAGTCTGCCGGCGAGCGTCACCCGCTGGCGAACGCGTCGAGGAGGAGTGCACCTCGCAGGGCCATCACGTCGCCCGGGGCGCCCGCCGACACGAAACCGCGACCACATGCTGTCGTACGGTCCCCATACTGTTTACTGTCCATTTGAACATTGATCGCGCGCCCGGTGCCGCGGTGGAGCGCGCGCAGGCGAGACCCAAGCGCCCTCCAGCCATCCGACAGTCGAGCGGGTGCGCACCTGCGATCCCTGCGGCAGGTTCCCCTGAGGCCCTTGCCCGCGCCATCCTGAGTGACTCATCGTGACTGATTCCGCGCCCGCCCGAGCGGCGGGCGATCCGCGGACAGGCTGTGCGCGAGACGGTCAGGCCTGGTGGTGTGCGCACGGGCGTCACCGCGGTCCTATGCTGCCTCGAGGCGAGGACGTCGGCTGACACACTCCTCAGGTCGACGAACGAAATGTCTCCGAAGTGTCCAGCTGTCGTCCTGGCTGCCCCATTCGGCCTTGGGCGCGTCTGCCAAGCAGGCCACATCACGTCAGGAGGGGGGCGTTGCGGGGAAACAATCGCCGTACTCGCCGCGGAAACCTTGCCCTTAACGCGACCTGTCGATCCAAGCAGCAGACAGGCTTGAATCACGCGGCCGGACATGCTCGCTCCTGTGCGTAGCCGCCACATCGCTCGACACCCTCGTGCCCTGGCGCAACAACTCTTGCGACACGTGCCGCGCTGGAACAGGACACTGAGTGGCTAGCTGGCCGGCGACAGATCGCGCAGGGCTCGCGCAACCCCCCCCCCTGGCGAAGACGGCACCGCACTGCGCACTTCAGCATGCTTCGAGGTCACAACCGCCGTGCCCACTGCCAGCGAAGCACCCCAATGTCCTCGCGGCGCGTCGTGCCTACACCGAGCCTGGAGGCCACCACGGCTCCGAGCAACGTGCGACATGCATGGACGGCAACTGGCAACGTGCAAACATCAGCCAGGCACTGGTCGCGCCGCGTCCGCGAGGCCGCACGATCTCGGCGGCTCCGCCTGCGCGTCCCAGCCCTCACGCCTCGCTCGCGGTGTTGCCTGCGCTGCCGACCGGCGCGGTGGTGGGCTCGGAGACCCCGCTCCCCGAGTGCGTGCGCGGGAGGTTCGGCGCCTCCCTCCGCCCGTCCTTCTTGACCGTCTCGTACATGAGCCAGTACACCGTCGAGTCCACGCGCGGGTCGTGGAACGCGTCCCCGAGGCGGAAGCGCTGCTGCAGAGAGCGCGGCAGCATACGCTCCAGCGAGAGCACGGCGCGCGCGTGCGCGAGGCGCGCCTTGCTGCCGGCGCTGGCGTGCGCGCTGCCGTCGAAGACCAGCTTCACGAGGCACGCGTTGAACACCCCGAGGACGAGCAGCCACGCCACGACCATGTACACGACCCACATGGCGCACGCCACGACGCGGAGGCCGTCCGAGTTGACCTGCATCACGTCCTCGTACGTCACGTCGAACCAGAGCATGCGGAACACCGACACCATCGCGCCCGGGATGTCGTCCAGGCGCGCCGACCCCGTCGTGGGCAGCGCGTAGTACCGCGCGTGCAGGCCGTTGTGCAGCGCGTAGAACGCCACCGCGAACCCGACGTTGATGGGGAGGTACACCGCCACGAAGCGCAGCAGGCGCTTGAACGCGGACTCGAGCAGCGCCATCACGTACGCGGGCGACAGGAAGGCCTGCAGCGACGACAGGATCATCAGGTACGACAGCAGCGTGGCGACCGCCAGGAGCGCGTCCTGCGCGGACGCCGTCGCCGACGAGATGCCTCCGGCGCTCGCCGCGGCGTCGCCGAGGTCCCTCACGTCGGCGAACCAGATCCCGTAGTGCGCCAGGAACGTGGCCATCATCGCCAGGTCGACGATCGCCGCGACGACCTCGTTGCGATGCCGGAGCGCGTCCCTGTGCGCATGCACGAACGCCGACGCCAGCGGCGTCGCGGTCTGCTCCTCGGTGTCCACCGGGGCCCGCGACGGCTCCGCCAGCTTGCCCGTGAGCGCCGCCTCCGGCTCCGCGCCGAGCACGTCCGTGCCGCCGCCGCGGCCTCGCGGCGGGTTGAGGTTCGGCAGGGTCGTCAGCGGCGCCATGGGCGCGGAGGGGGCGGACGGCAGCGGGGACAGCTGCCCGCTCTCCCGCCGCTGCTCGGTGGCCTCGAGCGGGTTCGACGGGTCGTCCAGCCCGGCCATGGAGCTGTGCAGGCGGAGCTCGAGCGCGCGCTGCGACGTCGAGGCGCCCTGCGACGGCGTCCGCTTGACCAGGCGGTGCGAGGCGACGCGGCCGAGCGCCGCCGCGCCGCCGCCGCCCGCAATGGTGGCGCCGCGCAGCCCGAGACGCTGCCGCCCGCCGCCCTCGTCCGTCTCCGTCTGGCGCGCCCCGAGCCGCGCGCGCGCCCCGCTCGGCCCATCGACGGCCGGCGCGATCTCGTGGTGGTGCCCGGGCAGGGGGATGTCCCCGTGCGACTTGCGCTGCCCGCTGCGCACCGACGACGTGGCCGACAGGACCCTGTCGACGTCGCCCTGACCCATTTCGTGCTGCCCAGCGCCGCTGTCGTCGCGCATGCGCCCGCTCATCCGCCCGCGCACAGGCCGCTGCGGCTGCAGCACCAGCGCCGAAGGAGCCTCCACCAGCTGCGCGCCCCCCGTCGCCGTGCCCGCGTGCTTCGAGCCACCCGCGGAGCTCTTCTCCGCGCCCTGCCGCATCGCCCCGCCCTGCGCCGTCGTCGCGAACAGCGAGGACGCCTCGACGGACGCCTTGGAGGCGCCCCGGCTGTGCGCGCTGACGCTCTGCTCGGCCTGCACGCGCCGCCGGTGCGCCTCGGTCGCCTTCGCGAGCGCGAGCGTGTTGCCCCCGCCCGGGTTGTTGAGCGTGTCCCTGTCGAGGCTCTTCCGCCCGCCCGTGTACTCGGCCGAGAGCCGCTTCACTGCCTTGCGGATGCCCGAGAACAGGCCCCCGCGGTCCTCGACGCCGATGTTCTCCCCGGGGATCGCGTACAGCGGGATGATCTCCGACCGCGGACGCGCCTCGCGGATGCGCGGAATGCTGCGGCAGCGGGGCACGGGTGCTGGCTCGCGTGGGCGTGAGTGCTCGCGCCGAGGGGCAGTCGCGGCGTCGCGCGGGCGGGGGCAGCGGCGCACCTGGAGCCGAGCCACGTCATGTAGCGGCGGATGAGCAGGAGTCCGAAGAGCACGAAGAGGGCGAGCAGGGCGTGCTCGAGGCCGTCAGCGGCGCGCGTCTCCCAGCGCGAGGAGCCGTGCAGCGCGACGAGCGCGGTGAGCAGGACGGCGAGAGCCGCGCGGCCGAGGCACACGAGCGCGGCGAGGGCCCCGGCGAACTTCTTCCACTTGGTTTCGACGACCATTTGGATGACGAAGTCCTGCAGCATGTGCACGTGGCAGTTGTGGCACACGGCCTCGACGGCCGACATGTGCGCGGTCTGGGCCTCGTCGACGACGGTGTCGATGTCCCGCAGCGGCTGGTACCACGCGCTGACGGGCCCGTAGGCCCACAGGAGCTTGCGCGAGCGCGTGTAGATGTGCTGGAAGAGCTCGCGGTGGCCCAGCTCGGCGGCGAGGAGGAGCGGGGTGCGGCCGTCGTGGTTGCGGAGGTCCTCGCGCGCGCCGAGGTAGGTGACGAGGTAGTCGTACGTCTCCTGGCGGTTGTGGAAGACGCACAGGTGCAGCGCGGTGTTGCCGTAGCTGTCGCGGTCGCTCACGTGCGCGCCGTGCCGCTTGAGGTACGCGCAGATGTCGTGCAGGCCCAGGCTCGCCGCGAACGACACGGGGTACTCGCCGTAGTAGCACGGCCGCCCGCGCGCGAAGAACTTGCCAAAGGCGCGCGCACGCACGTCGGCGCCGTTCTGGACCAGGTACTTGACCATGTCGAAGTCGCGGTTCACGATCGCGATGTGCAGCGCGGTCTCGCCCTCGTACAGCCCGGGCGGGTCCGTGTACCGCGTCCGCTCCTGGTACGGGCAGTTGATGAGCTCCGTGCCGTACAGCTGCACCAGGTAGCGCGCGATGGCCAGCGACGACGGCGTGTTCACCAGCATCGCCACGTGGAACACGTTGTCGCCCACGGGACCCTTCTCGTACACGTTCTGCCCCGGGAACAGCTGCATGATCTTCTGCGGCGCGGCGGGGCGGAGGGGGCGGGGCCGGGCTGGGTGCGTGGAGGCGAACGGGCCGCTGGACGTGCGCACGCGGAGCGATTCCGTGACTGGCAGCAGGGAAGTCGGTGGATGGAGCGGCTGCGGGGCGGAACGGCGGTCGGAAGGCGGTGCCGCGCGAGAGGCAGCGCGATGAGAGCACGGGTGGACTTGCGGGCTGCGGGGCGCGCGCTCACCTCCAAGGCCCCCGTCTTTGCGGCGTACCAGGGAGAGTCGGCCTGGTTGAGCAGCAGGGCCTGCTCGGCCACGTTGTTTTCCGCCCTGCGCGCGAACATCCCTGAGTTCCTCCCAGCATTGCTTGCCCTGCGAAAGACGCGCGGACGTCCGTCGATGAGCCCCGAGCGGTGCAGGATTGCGTGGCAAGCACGAGGCAACGCTCGGCGACTGCGAGGCCCCGTGTATCGTGCCCTCGACGACGCGAAGCGAACCCAACGGAGCAGTCGGGGCAACCGCGGCAGTCGCAGGTGGCCCGCAGCGATACCCGCGTTGCAGTCGAATCGTCTCGAACAAATGATAGCGTCCACAGATCGACGAAGCGCGCGTAGCGAGGCACTGCGGGCGGAGGCACTACGTGACAAATAGCCCGCGCTGATGCCGAGGTGCGGGAGCGGCACTCCGTCGGCGGCGGGGTCGAGCAAGTGCAGTCTCGCAGGTTGTGCGCGCGGCCGGACGGATCACCGCGACGCCTGCATCGTGCGGCCGTACAGCAGCCTGGCGGTTGCGCGGTCACTGCCAAGCAGCAGCGCGCTGGGGCGACTCACGTGTTCACGTCGGGCTTCTTGATTTCGTGCGAAGCCGATCTCTTGCTACCGAACCTCATTTCTGCGGCCTGTGGGAACGGATGCACGCGCGGCGCGCCGTGTGTGCGGGACGAGGTGCGCCCCAACTTGTCTCTGACCCTTGGCCGCGTGCGCGCTCAGGCCGCCGGCCTGGAGTAAAGCGCCATCTTGTTCACTAGACTGAGCTCCCCCTGCCGCGGGGAACGACGCTGAATCCTCCCAGACAAGGCAGCTTCGACAGGTTCGTGATTGAAGGCAGCCACACCCAGTCTTTGACAGCGCGCGAAAGCAATTCCCGGCTCAACCAGTCTGAGCTCGACTTCGTCGCGTCTACCAGGCGGCCCCGGCCGCGCGCGCACACGAGGCCGCCTCTGCGACGCGGAGTCCTCTGACTAGGAGCGCACCGACACCAGTGCGCTTGGACACCCCGCTGACGACGCCCGACGCCCGCTCAGGCGCCGCCGCTCATAGCTGCGGGCCGCTACCTGCGACGCGGCGCAAGCCAGCTGCTCCCTCGTTCTCCCGGGCGACTGCCGCGCTTGGGTGTGCGCACCAGGAGCCGCGCTGCCTCTCTGCGGGCTCGCTGACGGCGTGTGCCGCGAACTGCATCGGAAAGCTGCTGCGGAACCGTCTTGCAGGCCGAGAGAGAGGCGGGAAGCATGACGTCTTGGGCGAACGTCGCCAAGCAGAGCGCGCCGGACCCGTCGGTGCCGTCGCCGGCCACAGCGTCTCGGCCGACGGCCGTGGTGGACGCCAACACCATCATCAATGCCGTGAAGCTGGAACAGCTGGGGGAGAGGATCGTGACCGTGAAGTCGGTCCTGGAGGAGGTCCGGGACAAGCAGTCCAGGTGCGGGCGGCCGGCGAACGCTGCAGGAATCTCCCCGGTCCGGGGCGCCCCCGCCGCAACAGCAAGCGAGTCTGGCTGAGATCGAACGAATCAGCGATGTCGAGCCGTTGGCATCGCTATACACGTGTCTGGCGGCGGCATGTCGCGTGGCGGGCACGGCTGCTGCACCCCCGGTAGGCAGTTCGCTTGGGCGGCCGGCTTGGGCGCGGCGCGTCCATCGGTTGGCACGAGGGCCGTGCTGCGTGATCCCCGTGTCTGCCAACTCCGCTTCACGCCCAGTGTGCAAAGCGTGTCGGGCCGCCCGCAGCAGTGCCCGCGAAGCACCACGGTTGCGTCGTACGTTCCCGCAGGCAATTCCTTCAGATGCTTCCGTTCGACATCGAGGTGCTCGACCCGTCCGAGGACGCGATGATCGCCACGCGGAAGTTCGCGACGGCCACCGGCGACAGTTTCTCCCTCTCTGGGCCCGACCTGCGCCTCATCGCCCTGGCGCGCATGCTCGAGGAGCAGGCACACGGCGCGACGCACCTGCGCACCAAGCCGATCAAGGTGCGCCGCAGTCGCCCACGCACTCGCGCCGGGCCGTGCGCACCGTCATCTCCCCTTCTCGTTGTTGCGCCTTGTTTGTACCACGTCCGTCCGCGCCGGTCCCGACCCTCGAGCTGCGCCGACGTCCGACCTCGCACGCACGTTCGCGCAGGCGAAGATCAAGCGCGGGAAGGGCGCTCGCGCGGACAAGTTGCCCGGGTGGGGCGACGAGAACACTGCCGACCTCGACGCGTGGCGGGAGGTCGAGGAGGCCGACGGGGACGCGCCCGAGGGCGCCACGGGCTCGCGCATCGCCCACACGACCGCCACGATCGGACCCGAGGGCCAGGCGAGCTTCGATCAGGCGCCAGCGCCGCAGGTTGACACCGGGGCTCCAGCGAACGACTCCAAGGGGGTTGACGGTGCGACGGAGCGCCTGGAACGTCTTGCCGTCGGCGGCGCGCAGGCTCAGCGCGAGGAGCGTGCGCAGGATGCGGGTTCGGGGGGCGAGGGCGAGGAATGGGAGGCGGTGACCAGCACAGCGGCGCGGCGGCGCAAGCAGCGGCGTGAGGCCCGCATGAAGGAGGCGGAGCTGCTGGAGCGCGAGGCCCGGGAGCGCGCGCAGCGGGAGCTGGCGCTGATGGCGGCGGAGGCGGGTACGGAGGAGCGCGGGGACGAAGGCGACGGTCAGGGGGGGGAGTCGGACGGGCCCTCGGAGTACGACTTCGGGGGCGACGACGGCGCGGCGTCCGGGAGTGAGGACAGCGTCGCGTCGCTCGGGTTCGACTCGTCGGTGTGCATCGCGACGGCGGACTTCGCCATGCAGAACGTGATTGTGCAGATGGGGCTGCGGCTGGTGACGCCGGACGGGCGGCGGATCCGGGAGCTGGCGACGTACGCGCTGCGGTGTACGGCGTGCGCGGCGGTCGTGCGGGACATGTCCCGCCTGTTTTGCCCGCGGTGCGGCAACCAGGCCCTGGACAAGGTGCAGGTGCGCGTGGGCCCCGACGGCGCGGAGCAGATCGGGGTCCGGCGGCGCCACATCACGCGAGGGACGAAGTACTCGCTGCCCATGCCCCGCGGAGGCAAGGGCGGCAAGGACCCGGTGCTGCGCGAGGACGTGTTGATGCAGCGGCAGCGCAGGGGGCGCAACGGAGTCGCCGGGGCGCGGCGCGGGGACGCGGTGGACGCGTTCGCGCCGGAGTTCAACGAGGATTCGTGGTTCGCGGTGAACCAGGGCGTGGCGGGGCAGGAGAAGGGTCTGGCGTATCTGAATGCGTCGTGGAAACACAACCCCAACGAGCGGCAGAACAGGCGGACGAACCGGCGGCGGTGACACGGCGCGCCACGCCGCCGCGGCTCCGGCGGTCCGCGTGTGAGCAACAACGCGCTGCGAGGCGGCCTCACATCGCGCAATCGTCATGCGCAGCTGCCAGGTGGCCCGCATCTCGTACGTGCTCTGCGCGCGCCGGCCGAGACCCGCGCAGCGGCTCGCGGATAGATGGCTCCTGCGATATGTTACCGCAGGAACGGCTGACTCTGCGGACCGGATTGCGGCCCGCGAGCACCCGCGCTGCTCGACGCGAAAACGACCTCCTCGGCGGCAATCGCACAACGACGCAGCCCTTGCAGCGCCGCAGCGCGGCCCCGCCAGCCGTCGCTGCCACGCAGAAGCGCGGCGTCTTGTCTGTCGCGCACGCAGACCTGCCACCAGTGCGACACAGCCTGGAGAACGTGCGACAGTAGCTGGTCGTCCCGCCTCACCCTCCACGCCCGCGTGCCACGCGTCGCCGAGCGGCTGACCAGCACTGCGGACGAGGTGCCCGTCGCAAGCATCTGGAGCTGGAGCTGGAGCACGTGCACTGCGGGGAGCTGCTCGAAGGGCCCCCGGTCCCGCAAAACGTACCCCGGGGGGGTCCTCCCCCGCCGGCCACGCCCGCCTCCGCCCCGCGCTTCCATGAATGGGCACGTCGTCTTGACCTCGACGACCTCGGCCACGACAGCCGCCCCCGGCGCGCCAACAGGCAGCCCTCGCCGACGCGCCTCCTCCTCCAAACACCGCCGTGTTTCTTCCGCAGGCAGGCCGCTCGCGTCCGAAGCGGCGTCGGCCCCGCGCCTCCACACTTCCGCCATGCAGGCGACTGTGCCGCCGCCCACCGGCTTCCCAGCACGCCGTCGCTTTTTGCGTCTTGCTGCGCCGCTGCCCATCCCCGCTGCGCGCTGGAGCGCCCGAACCCACTCCGCGTCCGCAGCCTCGCCGCCCCGCTTCTCTGCGTCCGCCGCGCTGCTTGGCGCGGCGGCTGCCGGCAGGGGGGTCTCTGCGTCCCCAGTCTGTCGCATGCGCAGCACAATCGCGTCAGGGGAGGCCCCAAGGGGAGGCAGGGCGTCCGAGCGCACGCCGAGGGCTTCGACCGCCGCAGGGTGCACCATGACCAGCCCCGGTACGAGCATCAGCGCGTCAGGGTCGCCCTCAAGCACGCACGCCAGCGCTGCGCCCTCCTGAGCGTTGCCGAACGCGCAGGCTACGTCGTGCTGGCCCTTCGCGGCGGCCACGTGGCTGGTAGCGATCATGGCATCGAGCCACGTCGCGACCTCGGTCGAACGGTTGTCTGACAAAGGCCCAGCCTCGTCTTGCGCGACGTTTGGAACCTCCCACGTGCCGCGAAGGTCGGCCGCAGACAACACGGCGCCGCTGCGCAGCGTCGCGGACGCTGCCGAGACGGACCCACCCCCTGACCTCCCGGATCGGATTCCCAGGGTCTTGCGGGCGTCTGCCTCGTAGACACCAAGACTCTCCTTCAAAAGACCAGAGGTGAGCACGCCTGCATGAGCCTTGCGCCAGTCTTCCGTCCCTGTGACGGCGGCGAAGCACTGGGAGGTCAAGGTGGGGCGGAAGTGTTCTGAAATCGGGGGCATGACGGGAAGATGTGAGCATGAGTTGCTCGCGGGCTCTTTGCGCGCGAAACACCGCAGTACGGAGCGTCAGACAGTCGAGTGGTGCCGTGGCTCCGTACCTTGCGGGAACCGCCAGCATGTGCGGGGGTCCGTGCTGTCAGCGGCGTCAGCTCCAGCCGTGCGGGCCCACACTGTGCTGGCGATCATGCGTGGGTGGTCGCGCAGCGTGCCGGGGTCGACCGCACGGAACGCGATGTTCGGCACTTCGCCTTCGACTCCATGCAGCCCGTCCTCGACGCCCTCATCGCCGCTATCCATGCCGCTATCCTGAGGAACTTCGAGGCCAAGCTCAACCTACACACAAGGTCATCGCGGTGCTTGCAGCGGGGCGAAACCGCACCCCTGCGGCCAGAAGTCACCCCGCCCGTCGCGCGGTGCCAGCGTCGAGGGCCTGCGGGCGAAGCAGGGGCCCGACACCCGCCAGACGCGTCGGTGACGCCTCCGGCGGGAGTGTTCCGCCTCCGGGCGCGTCACGTCCTCAAACTGGCGAGGCACGACGTGTCAGGCACATGCATACGACGCTGCCACGCGTTGTCGCGATGGAGCAAGAGGCGTGATAGACCGTCGGCCCCAGCACGTCCGCTGCTGCCCATACAGTCTACGATCGCTCCAGGCGCCGCAATCGCGCCCCGAGTGCACCCCTGCGCGGTCCCTGGCGTGTTTCCGTCTCATTGAGCTCAGAGGTGAGGAAAGCAGCCTCCCGTTCCGTTGGACGTCTCCACGGGCCGTTGTCTGTGCTGTAACGACTTGCCTGGCCCCGCGGGACTCTGAGAGGTCCTGTGCTTCCGGCTCGATACATGCCGACTCCACCAATGTCTCTCAAGGTGGCCGCCACTCATCGAATGTCGGGCAGTCGCCGCTCGGAACGCATGCCACGCCCGGCAAGCTGCCAACCCACCGATCCCGTCCGCACGGTTCCTCGACGGTTTCGAGCAGGCCCACGCAGACGCGAATCACGTAGCATGGACCGTGCACGCACGCGCCGACGCGGCCCCGTTCGCCCCGTACGGACGCAGGGGCCGAGACGATGGAGGTTGCGACGCAGAGCAGGGGCGCCTCCGTCGGCCGGTACTCGGCCGCGACCCAGTGCGCGGCTCTGGCCGCCGCCGCCGTGGCGCTGTCGTACGGCTGGAGCGCCTGGGCGCGCTCGAAGCACAGCAGCGTCCTGCAGCAGGAGATCGCGGTCCTGAAAAGCAAGCTCGAACTCGACGCGGGGCAGCTGCGGGCCATCCGCGACGCGATGATCGAGGAGATGGAGGCCGGCCTGCGGGAGCGCGGCCGGCCGATGCACATGCTGCCGACGCACGTGGCGCAGCTGCCGCGCGAGACGGACACCGGCGACGCGTACGCCGTGGACCTGGGCGGCACAAACCTGCGCGTGGCGCGCGTCGTCGTCCGCGAGGGCCGCCTCGAGGGCGAGCCGACGATCGAGGCGCGCGAGGTCCCGAAGCACCTGCTCACGGAGCCCGTGGAGCACCTGTTTGACTTCCTGGCCATGGCCCTCGAACGCATGATCGCGCGGCACGGCGACCCCTCGCGGCCGGCGCGCGTGGGGTTCTCGTTCAGCTTCCCGATGGAGCAGGCCTCGGTGGACTCGGGCATCCTGATGTACTGGACCAAGGGGTATGCGTGTGCGGGGGCGGTGGGGAAGGACGTGGTGCGGCTGTTCAGCGACGCGCTGGGGCGCGCGGGGAGCACTGCGCGCGTCGTGTGCCTCGTGAACGACTGCCTCGGGCCGCTCGTGGCCGCGAGCGAGCCGGGCAGGCCGGCGGCGGCGGGCATGATCTTTGGGACGGGGACGAACATGGCCTACATGGAGCGGCGGGAGCGGGTGGTGAAGCTGGAGGGCGGCGGGCGGCGCGGGCGCTCGGAGGGGGGCATGGTGATCAACAGCGAGTGGGCGAACTTCTTCTCGGAGACGCTCCCGCTCGTGGAGGAGGACGTGTACGTGGACGCGGCGAGCCACAACCCGGGCGCGGGGAGGTTCGAGAAGCTCACGAGCGGGGCGTTCTACGGGGAGGTGTCGCGGCGGCTGATCGCGCGGCTGCAGGAGCGGGCGCACATCTTCGGGCCGGGCGAGGGGTCGCCGATGCTGGGGGGGGTGGGGCAGGGGAGCTTGAGCGCGAAGGAGGCGAGCTTCGCGTGCGGGGACTACTCGCACGACCTCAGTCGCGTGGGGCTGATGGTGGAGGGGAAGTTCGGGGTCGACAAGCGGCGGGTCGGGCGGAAGGAGAGGGAGGCAGTGCGGGAGGTGTGCCGGCTGGCGGCGAGGCGGGCAGGTGCGCAGCTGGCGTCGCCGTCGCAAGGCGAGCGCGGCGCAGGCATGCCAGGCGCTGCACCGATGCGGCGGGACGCGCCGCGTGCGGGCGAACCATCGCTCTGCTGTCTCTGACCGCGCGTCGTCGGCGGGCCTCGTGCTGCAGGTTTCGTGGCTGCTGCTGGAGCGGCTGCGGTGCTGAAGAAGATCGGGTGGGACGGGAAGACGCCGGCTGTGCTCGGAGTCGAGGGAGCTTTCTATCACAACACCCCCTTGTTTGCAGTGACCATGCGGGAAGGGCTGAACAAGCTGGGCTGCCAGAAGGCCGAGCTGAAGCCTGTCTCGGGCGGGTCCGTCGTCGGCACCGCGCTGCTCGCGGCCACGTTCCCGGTCTAGTTGCAGACCCTGTGCACTCGGCGTCCGACACAATGGCCGCCACGCGATGTCGTGACCGGATGCCGCGGTACATACGGATGAGAGATGCATGGGCGACAGCCGCATGGGCGAAGTGGCGAGAGCGTGCGTCGTCGCCCTGACCTGCGTGTCACCGGGGCTGGCGTGACGGTTGCCCGCGTCTCTGGCGAGCCGCCCTCCTGCCTGTGACATCCACCCCCGTCGCTCCGCCCAGTCGTCCATCTGGTCCTTCAGCGTCCCGCTGGGCAAGCACGTATGTCGCCGCTGTGGTGGTGCTGCCACCCATGTGTCAACTGAACAACGACCTGACATGATCACCCACGCAGCGCTTCCGCACAGCGCGTCAGGCACGAGACGCCGGGCGTAGCGCGGGTCCTTGTTCGTGCATGCTCTGGCGCGCGGCCGCTCAACGGCTCCGCCGCGCTCGAGGCGCGCCTGCGCACCGCTGCAGGTGCGCATCGACGCACCGCCATGCGTTGATACTGGCCGCCGCCTGCGCTGTCGGGCCGCGCCAACATCGCGCTCGGCATCCCACGTTCCTGTCTCCCCGCCAAGCCGCCCGTCCCGCGCTGCCCTGCCACGCGGGCACTTGTGTGTGTGGTGCGCCGTGGGGGGGTGATGTGTGGGGGTGTGCTGACCGACTGTCACGTTGCCGTGCGGGCGCCGCTGGGGCAGCTCATGGCTCCTGCACGCCGCCCTACCGCACACTCGCCGCTGCTCACACGGAACAACCGCGCGACTTGTCTCTGTCCTTCCTCCAAGCACCCAAGAGCGACACGGTGCGCTGCTCGACGACACCGACGACCGCGAGCGCAGGGAGCGTGCACGCGGGCGCGAGGGCGCGATTCGGTGTCGATGTGGTCGAAATGAACGCGTCGCGCCCTGAGGGTCGGGAGCGCCGCGTTTTTCCGCTCGCTTGATGCCCACCTACCGACTGATGGACTTCTGTGCGTGGAGCGGGGCGAGGCGGGCCGACCGGGATGATTGCGGTCGCTGACACGAATATCATTAAGATAGGCCACTGAAAGCGCGCCGTTGTATGTAGCGACGTGGCCGGACGAGCGCGTGTGGCCGGGTCAACCACCGACCTATCCCCACTGCGCGACCTTACGACCGAGGGCGCGGCGCGGTCACATGCGCGCAGTCAAATCGATGTTGCGGCTCGTTCGGGTCAATTCAATTTCGATCATCCCGTCACGCACAAGAAAAGCGAACTTTGTGTGACCGGCGTGCCTCGCAGATGGCCCCTGCCCCCGAGGCCCAGGCGAAGCCCTACAACCAGGGATGCCACGCCACCGTCGAGGTTGACGGCCAGGTGCGCTCCAGCCGCACGCCATCAGGCCGGGAGGCGCAGTACTGTGTCTGCGGACAGGCAGGCAGTGCCTGCGCGGCTACGACGCGTGGCTCATCTCTAGACATTGCGCGTCGCAGCGACAGCGTGACGGGCAGCAACACCCGACGCGCCCCTGAAACGCATCGTTCTCCGGCAACTCGCGACGTCGATGCCGTCGCAGAGTGGTGACGATAGAGACCGTCATTCATGGCTGACGCGAGGGGTGTGTTTTCTCGTTGACACGCAGACGTCCGTCGTGGATGCTCTCGGCACGCACCCCGAGGTGCTGCCCGGCAGCCACTGGGTACTGCAGCTCGTGCAGTCGGAGCTGGGCAAGATCATGCTGGACATGGTCAACAAGGACATCAGGTGCGTGGCGTCAAACGTACACAAATGCGGACGCTGGCCGGCCGGGACGGCAAGGTCCCCTCGTATCCGCCTGCGGCCATCGCCCGCGAGCACCAACGGGATCTGCCGCGCACCCTTGGCACTGCTTCATTTGCAGGTCCGCTCCGTCTGGCGCAACGGGCCTGACGTTCCGCGACACGCAGCTCCAGAACAATATCGGCACCGCCTTCAAGATCGCGGACCTTGAGTTCAAGATCAACCAGATCAAGGCTGTCGACGAGGACACGGCGAAGGCGTTGGAGACGGAGCTCGGCGAGCCGATCAAGAAGATCGACATCCTGTTCAAGAGGTACAAGGCCGGGGCGCCCACGGACGGAGAGCAGCAGACGAAGTCCGTGGCGACGCCGGTATGAAATCCCCTCGGCGGCACACACTGTACTGAAGGGCGGCAGTTTGGCACGTGATGCCGCGCAGCCTGACGCACATGCGCTGCGTGCTGCACTGCAGAAAGGGAAGGTCGAGGTCGTGAACCTGCCCTTCTACGACATTCTGAAGGGCAGGCACGAGCGCTACACGCAGCAGGCCGCGAAGCAGGCGAAGGTCAAAAACATGCAGCTGAAGGAGGCGGAGGACCACCTGGCCAGCCTGGAGGACGATCTGCACGGCCTGAACGGCAGGCGCGAGGCCGCCGAGGAGGAGCTCAACGAGGCTAATGCGAAGCACGCCGAGATTCTGCAGAAGCTCGATCAGCGCAGGGCCGAGCTGACTGGTTCTCTCGACGTCAAGGCGCTCGCGCGGCTGAATGCCAGGATCGAGGTGAGCGTTTTCTGGTCTGGCGCCTCGCACTCGACGGCCAGGGAGGCGCTGCTCAGCAGCAGCGGTGCGTGTGTGCGGCTAGGACGACCTGGCAGTCCCGGCGTCGTCGTCGCTGATGCCACGCGCTCCTGTCCGCTCTCACGCAGAACCTGGACCGCGAGCTCACCATGGCGGAGGTGCGCGTCCAGGTGGCGACGGAAAAGCTCAACAAGATTAAGGCCGACCAGACCATGCTCGGAAAGAAGATCGCCGAGACGCAGGAGGCCATCGCGAAGCTGAAGAAGTAAGCCGCGGTACGCGGCTGTCAGGACTCGTGGCGTGCGCTATCTTTCCGAGGTGGACAACTATTACCATTGGCTGAAAGCAGGATGACATTCCCGCCACCATCGTCAAGAACGGAGGGCGGCGGTGCTTGCAGCTCTGCATGCGCGCGCTTGCCGTCGACAAGCGAAGCTCGGCGGGCCCAACTGTCGCGCGACTCTTCCGTGTGAGACGATATCCTCGGGCTGGCTCGCCGAGGCAGCTGTCCCGGCCCGCTGATCTCGCTTCCCACGCCGCCGCCGCCCTGTCGCCCTTTCCAGTGCTGCGAGGTCCGTCCGGCTGCTCCGAATCCAGCGACAGAGCCACGCGTCGGCTGCGCGCAGACGCCTCCCACATGCATGGCGTGCGCTCTCAGTCATGGGTCGGCGCAGATCAGAGCACCTCGCCGCCCTGTCACGTGCACTGCGGTCTTACTGCCGAGCTTGCAGCCCCAGCGACGGCCAGCCCCGCCCAGCACGGGAGGGCCTGCAGGAGCGCGACCTACACACAGCCGCGAGGAGCGCGGCGACACCCGCAACGACGCAACCTTGCGCCGTCGGCCCCCGTCGATGCCGCGGCATGTCGTCGCGCCGTTCCCTGCCCAGGAATGGGCACGGGCCTGAGTCGGACAGGGCGCTGGGGTCGTTGGGCACGCCACGAGACCGCCATGTTGGGCCGTGGAGCTCGCCGTCGGTGGCAAATTTGATCGAGCAAGAACCGGGAACTTAGGTTGACGCAGTTTTGTGCAACGGCCGTAATCGCGCGCCTTGGATTGTGCGAAAGCGTAAGCAGGGTCAGCGAGGTTGGTCCGCGCGCTCGCTGGAGGGGGGCCACGGTCGCATCGTTCTGCCCGAGCGCAGCCTAGCAACAGCCCACGGCGCACAGGCCGGTCTAGCGGCGCCGCTGGCCTCCCAACGCACCGCTGTTGCGGCGTGAGGGGCCGACGTTTGAGGTCAGCGAACGCCAAGGATTGCTAGATCGTCGGGGGTCGAAAATGGCGGAGCCGAATGACCTCGTGCGCCTCCTCTTGATCGGCGACAGCGGAGTGGGCAAATCATGCCTGCTCTTGCGCTTCACGGAGAATAGCTTCCAGTCGAGCTTTGTCACGACCATAGGGATCGACTTCAAGACCAAGGTGGTGAATATCGACAACAGGAGCGTGAAGCTGCAAATTTGGGACACTGCGGGCCAAGAGCGCTTCCGTACGATCACCTCAGCGTACTACAGGCGCGTGCCCTCACGGCTCTCTCGCTGCCCCCCCGCAACGAGCGGCGCAGCCGCCAGCTTTCGCTGCCAGCCGCCATGCCAGCTCCCTTGTCCGTCGGGGGACGAACGCCGATCCCCGATGCGTCGCAAGCGGCCACCGCACGCGATTGGAGGCTTTGCCGCTGCACCCTGACCAGTTCTCCGCCCCCTGCCGCACGGGCGGCGCGCGGCCGGCTCGCCTCGCACCGCGAGCTGGCATGGCGAACCTCTTGGGCCTTCGAGCCGACTGCCACCCGCCGCCCGGGCGGGCCGCGGAGCCCCCTGGCGCGGAGCTGGCCTCTTGCACAGAGGCTCCTCCCGCGCGGCCCCGCTTCCCACTCGCTGCACGCATCCGCCCGCCCGGCACCGCCGCACGCTCCCCTCTGGCCACTCCGCCCCCCGCAAGCCGCCAGGGCGCCCAGCCCCGCGTCAGGGCACGCCCCGCTGCTGGCCAGGTTCCCTGGAGGACACGCGCCTTTCCGGCGCTGGGGCGCCCCCCGTGTGGCCGGGGCGGCTCCTCGGCGCGGGCCGGACGCGCACCCTCCGGCTCGGCATCGCCTCCGCGGCGCTCGGCGCCCCGGCGCGCCCATCGCGGGCCGCTGAAGTGCAGCGCACTCGTGTCGTCCTCCCGCAGGGGGGCGCAAGGCATTCTTATGGTTTACGACATAACGGACGAGCGGTCGTTCGAGAACATCCGGCACTGGGTGAAGAACATTGAGCAGCACGCGGCGGGCAACGTGGACCGCATCCTGGTGGGCAACAAGAGCGATGGCGAGGCGGACCGGGCGGTGAGCACGGCGCGCGGGCAGGCGCTCGCCGACGAGTTCGGCATCCTGTTCTTCGAGACGAGCGCGAAGGACAACAAGAACGTCGCGGAGGCGTTCCTCGGGGTCGGGAAGAAGGTCCTCAAGCGCATGGCGCAAGCGGACCAGGCGCCGCCCGCGGACCCAGGGGTGGTCACCATCGGCGCGAACGGGGCCGGCGCGCGGAAGAAGGCCGCCGACAAGTCCAAGTGCTGCTCGTGATCCACCGCGGGGGCCAGCACCTGCCTGCAACGCATCCTCCACTCGCCGCGACCCGCCGGACCCGGCGCGCGCGCGCCCGGCCCCGGAACGTGCCGCCGCCTGACCGCGCGCAGCGCACTCGCGCGTGGAGGCGCGGTCCCGGCCGGAGCGCACGTGTCTGCGCGGTGGCGGCCGCCACTGCCTCGCTTTGTCGGCGGGTGGTCGCAGCCGCCCGGAGCGCGCGGACGCCCGCGTAGCACGCGACACGGCGACATCGCGCTGCCCGCGCCCCTGCGCGAGGAGCGCCGCATTGTGTGATCTGCACCACAATCGCGCTGCGCTGGACGGCGCCAGGCGGACGCGCCGGCTGTCGCAACACAGACAGTCACCGTCACCAGCAGCCGAGGCGCTTTTGCGCTGCTGTGCGTGTGGTGCGCCGGCCCGGGGTAGCGAGGTGGCACCGTTGCCCTGTCGGCAGTGGGACCTTCGCGGCGAGCCGCGCGCGGGGGGCCGCACGATTGTGCGTGTGCTGGAGAGCTGCGGGGTGGGACCGCGCAGTGCGCAGAGGCGGCTGTGCCCCCGCGAGGTGCCCGCGTCAGTCCCGATTGACACCCCCCAGAGGTGTTTGGAACTGGCTTGCACCCGGCTTGTGCGTCGCGAGGCGCGCTGCGCAGGCACAGTCTGCCTAGGCCACTGTTGGCGACCTACTTGGCGTTGCGTGATCGTCCGTCTTCCCGCGTCCCCGTGCGGTGTGTGTGGTTTCTGCAGCGCTCGCCGAGCTCTCGCGGTCCGCCCTCGCGACGCGAACAGCACCGCGCGCGCCTTGACGGGTCCGAACGAGAGGGCCCCCCGCCAGGCGTCCGGTCCCTGTATGCCGGTCGAGCCTGTCAGCAGCATCCCTTGTCAAGCGGGCAACGCCCACGCGTCCAGCAAGGCTGTCATCGCCATGGCTGGAGGTGAGGCGCGACGCGTGTGGTGATGGAGTCGCGCAGATTGCGCTCCGCTGGCGCGCCGGAGTTCTGCGTGGGCCCTGCGCGCGACGTGGACGTCTGCTGCTGGGGAGGGCTGGTGCTCTCTGACGCGGCCCTGACCGCGGTCATGCTCGCGATGCGGTGCAGGCATCTTCATGGAGAGCACGAACCTACTATGCGCGGAACGTAGAGTACTAGAACGACTACGACAGCAAGCAATGCGCCACCAAGTGCCCAGGTCAGTCACGGGTCGCCACCCCGCCGTCGTCGCCGCACGTGTTCGTTGTCCTCCACGATAATCCGAATGATGATGATGCGTGGGGCCGCCAAGGCCCGGATCCTCGAGCCCTGTGCAGCCAGTGCCCCTGACTTGCCCGAGTGCTCCACTTGCTAGGTGCACTTGCGCGCAGCCTCGATCCTGCGGGTCTGCGCGGCTGACTGCGATTCGCTGACGTCGACTCCGATAGCTCCCGTTCTGCAGTCATCAAATGAACAGCTGGATCCGCCGGAAGACGAAGGGGCGGCTCGAGGTGTGGCGCTTCACGCGCGACGGGCTGCCGGGCACCGCCGTGCCGTGTCCAGAGTGCAAGAAAGAGCTGCTGAACATCGGACTGCGAGTCACCTGCTCCCTCGACCCGGAGGTGAGTCGCACCTGCGTTGTGCCCCCGCAGCGTGCCACCTGTGTTGCACACCGCCTCCGTCGTGCTTGCACCGCGCCGCTGCCACCACGGCTCCACTGAACGATCGCACGCCATCCCTTTCACGCCGCCGTATCGATCACGGGCTCGCTGCGTCTGCATGTGTGGCACTGCAGTGCGCATCGTACGAACAACACCATGTGTGTGGCGTTGGCCTCCCTGACGTCCCCGTATGTCGACGTGATGAACGCAGCGGGTGTTTCGGGGCCGCTTAGACGATGAGGACGCTCCTGAGAGCAAGCCGACGATGGGGCAGTTGTTGCAGCTGGACAGGCGGCAAGGAAGCACGTCGCCGCAGCAACGGTGTCGCACCGTCATTCGAAGCAGCAGCACGTGCAGCCATTGCTCCAGCTGAGTGCGCGCTGACATGCTCGTCTCGATGCGCGCGCCGCGTGTAACGGCGGACGGAGTGGCCGGCAGCCACTGACACCCCCCCCTGGACACTGCCAGCAGGGTGTCAGCCGCACTCCTGCGTGGCCACGGGTATCGCTCGGCTGGGCAGCTCCGCGCGTTTCGTGTCATCGCGGTCTTATCACAGCGCTGGCGCCCCGAGCTCCCTTATGTATATCTATGTGTCTCGATATTTGTGTCTCTCCTTCTTGTGGTGTTTTCCTTCCCTCGCTCCGCCGCAGATCCCGCCCCTATTCCTTGCTTCCCGCGCTCACCGCTCCCAGTCCTGCCGCTTCCGCCCCACCACTCACCATCACGCGTCGTCATCCTCCAGGTCCGCCCATCCCACGCTGGAGCCCCCCCCCACACTGACACCCCCGTCAGACACGCGCCCGCCGTCGCGCGCTCCCACAGCCTCGTCCTCGTCGTCGCTCCACTCCCGCACGCCCTTCATCGTCGCCGCCCCCGCGCGCTCCGTCGCGCCGAGACTACCCCCCTGCACCGCCGCCGCAAACACCTCCGGCAGGGTGCGCTGTTCGGGCTCCACCCCGGCCCCGCGACGCCCGTCCACGTGCACGAACGACACCACCTCCGACGAGGCGACCGCCGCGTCCAGCACCGCGTCGCCCGTCTGACCGCGCCGGTCCACCCACGCCTCCGCCCCGCCCCTGGCCAGCACGTCCCGCGTCTCGCAGTCCGTGTTCGTTGCGAGCCGGAACAGCCCGCGCAGCTCCTCGCGCGTGAACCGCGGTCCGCCCCTGCGCGCCCCCGCGCCGCCGCACCCCTCCAGCGCGGTGTTCTGCCCCTTGATCTGCTGCCGCATGTACACCTTCTCGTCCAGCGCGCCCGCGACCAGGAGCCGCATGACCGTGCACGGCTGCCGCTGGCCGTCGCGCCACACGCGCGCCATCGCCTGCGCGTCGATCGCGGGGTTCCAGTCTCCGTCCAGCAGCACCAGGCGGTTGGCCCCGATCAGGTTCAGGCCTGCGCCACCGGCGCGGGACGACAGGAGGCACACGCGCGCCGTGCTCAGGGTGTTGAACTGGTCCACGATGTCCTTCCGGATCGACGCGTCCGTGCCGCCGTCGATGCGGCACGTCGTGAGGCCGAGGTTCCCGCACAGGCCCTGCACGACGTCCAGCAGCTTGGTGGACGTCGACACCACCACCACCTTGTCCGCACGCGCTGACTCCGGCTGCCCGGACCCGCCCTTGAGCTCCCGCAGCAGCGCGGATAGGAAGACCATCTTGCTCGACCCGTCCGGCGCGTCCGGCTGGAAGTCGTCCGGGAAGCACCCGCGGAGGTCGAAGGCGTCACCGGCGTCACCGGCGGCGGCGGCGTCGCCCCCCGCGCCCTCTGCGCCCCCCGCGCCCGGCGTCCACAGCATCCCCGGGTGGTTGCAGATCTTCTTCAGCACCGCGAGCTTCTCGAGGACGTCCGTGGCGGGCACCTCGCCGCCGTCGAGGCGCCAGGGCCCACCCGCGCGGTTCAGGGCCGCGTACAGCGCGACCTGGAGCGGCGTGGGCCGGCACACGACCACGACAGACGTGAGCGGCGGCAGGAAGCGCTCGTTGACCTCCGCGCCGCGCTGCAGGAAGAAGACCCCGAGCTGCCGCGCGAGCTCCGCGGCGCGCTCCTGCGCGACGCCCTGCTCCGCGGGCGTGCACCCTCGCTCGCGCCCGCGCGTGATGGGCTTCTCGAACACGTCCCGGAAGGAGCGCAGGGTCCCGAGGCACCCGGGGTTGACGAAGTCGACGACGGCCCAGAGCTCCGCGAGGTCGTTCTGCAGCGGGGTGCCCGTGAGCACCACGCGCTGCTTGCACCCCAGGGACAGCAGCGCGGCGATGGTCTGGTTCCCGCCGGCCGCCTTGAGGCGGTGGCCCTCGTCGCACACGAGGAGGTCCACGGGCGGCCCGGACGCGGCGCCCGCGAGCGACCCGGAGAGCTTGCGCGCCATCTCGTAGCTGAGGATGAGCACGGGGAAGATGGGGGACACGCGGAAGTCGTGGACCGTCGCGGCGACGTCCTCCCCCGGCGTGACGGTCAGCGTGCGCAGGCGCGTGTCGCCGAGCCACTTGCGGAACTCGTCGCGCCAGTTGTTGACCAGGCTGCTCGGCACCACCACCACGGCCTTCTTGATCGCGGGGCGCCCGGAGGGGCCCTGCCGGAGCAGCGTCCACACGAGCGAGATGATCTGCAGCGTCTTCCCGAGGCCCATGGCGTCGCCGAGGATCGCCCCGGTCACGTGCGCTGCCCGCACACCCATCACGCACTCGTACAAGAACTGCGGCGCGGGGGGGCGGGAGCGTCGGTGACGAAACGCCGCTGCGACGGCTGCGGCGTTCGTTCGCTCGCGCGCGGGGCGCGCGCACCTGGACGCCCTCCTTCTGGTGCGGCCGCAGCTTGCGCACTAGGAAGGGATCGAGCACCACCGCGCTGCGGTCGCGGCCGCTGTCGTACCCGGCCTTGTTCAGGACCACCGCGTCGGGCGCATTCGCGTCGTGCAGCGGCGGCCGCGGCGCGTTGGCGCGGCCCGGGCACAGCGCGGTGCTTGGCTTGGCGGGGGGCGCGGAGAGCAGCGACGCGCCGACGCGAGGTGGGGCGCGGGCCGCGGCGGACGGCCCCGCCGACTTCCCGGGCGAGACGGTGGTCCCGGGGAGGAAGCACGACCCGGACATGAAGTCTTCGACCGGCAGCGCGGCGTCCACCTCGAGCTCCCAGCTGCCCAGGGCCAGCTCGGAGTCGCTCGCGAGGCTGGCCGCCGCCGCGCATCGCCCACGCGTGACCTGCTTGCCGGAATCGTCATACAGCGTGCACTGCGTGCCGTCCTGCGGGACACGGGAGGCATTCGTCGGTGAGAGCTCCTGCGCTGAGGTATGCTGTGCCTCCGCGGTCGCCCCACGTGGTCCACGGTGATGAAACGCGCCGCCGCCGGGCGTGTCACGTATCAGAGGTGCTACTTCGCGCCAAACGCGCGAACAAGCATCGTCGAGCGCGCGGTTCAGCCCAGCTGTCACAGGAGTTTGAGGCCTCGAGCGCGGGCGTCACACCCGTGGGCGAAGCGCTTGCATGGCGCACGTCATCTCGCGGAAGCGCACCTGTACGACGAGGATTCCATCGTCGAACGTCTTGTTTCGCCGCAGCTTGCTCGAGCGCTTCGTGTACAGCACCCGAAAGCAGCGCTTGCTCGAGTCCGCAGGCCGCGCAGCCTGCACCTGGGGAGCCGCGTGAGGTTGCAGCGGACGGCGCGCAATCTTCGTCACTTTCGCGTCGAGTGGCTGCGCGGCGCGCTTCACGCTCGCGCCCTCGCCGTCGCCCGCAGGCTGGTTGAGCATACGAGGTGGCTTCCACTTCTTCATGCTGGACTCTCACGGCCCTGCGCCAGGCGCCGCACTGCCCTGGCGCCCGAGCTGCGACGGCCGTCGAGTCGGCGGTGCGACCAACGTGTGTCTGACACTGTCAGGAGTCGGACCACAGACGGCAGGGACTCAGGGGAGGGGAGTTGATGTCGGCGCCGGAGTCCGTTCGCCCCCTCTCCCACCTGCCATCAGCCCTCCGGCGGGGGGTGCCCGGCCCCTCGGGCACAACTGAAACCCCGCAGCCCCTCACAGCCTGTGGCGGGCGTCTGAACTCCGGGCTGAGTTCCGAACTGAGGATCTCCTCCTCCCGAATCTGCCGGGTGCGTCTCACGACTTGCCTCGCCAGCACGCCGGCGGACTCGCCTGCGCGGACGCCCCTCCCGCGGACCAGTATGATCCAGTATCCTTGTGTGTTGCTGCACACTTGCGGCCAAGGCACTTTCGGCCTTCTGTCCCTTTCCCGCTTGTCTGAAAGGAAGAATCAGTCTCACGTTGCACCCCCGGAGTTGCATGATCGCCGTAGGAGCTGTACAATGGGCGTCTTGGCAGCACCTGTAGGGTTGCTTCGGTGACTGCGCATCCCCACTGGGCATTCTGCGGAGCCGCTCAGGGGTCGGCGGACCACGACTGGCCGGCGGCGGTCGTCCCGCTGAGGGCATCACGAGCCAACCCCCCCTCCGGGATGACGGCAGTCGGACCAACCGCAAACACACACCCGCCAGGGCCGTCCTGGACGGGCGCACCGGGCGGCATCAGCTGCGAAAACGACAGCCGTCAGTGACTCGGCTTGTGCAGGAGCGAGAGGCACAGTTCCCCCCCCCTGTCACCGGGCTGGTGGCTCCCGTGCAGTTGCAGACCCGGACGCACCGTTGTTTGCCGTGTGAGGGGGACCGCGGGAGCAGACGAGCGCGCGCGGTGACGTATATGGAAGAGGGCGAAGGCCCGGGCTCAAGTCGTGGAGGTCTGCCGTCCGAACGCGGCGTCACTCGGGGCCCAGGCGACCTAGGGGCTTCACAGGCCGAGGCGCTCAAGGAGCTCGCCGCGGTCATCCAGGTGAGACAGTCGCGGGCGGTTCCCGCCGGCCCTCGTCCGAGCAGGCGGCCGGTCGCGCCGCGGGCGGGAGCGCGTGCGTGTTCTGCGCGGGGCGGCAACGGCCTAGTTTCCCCTGCGACCTGGCTCGAGGGCGCCCAGCGGTGCGCCGCGACGGAGCCGAGGACCACGCTCGTTGCAGGCTCTCGAAGGCTTGAACAAGACGTCTGATGAGCATCGAGATCTGCTCGAGAGCCTGAAGCACAAAGCGCAGCTCCTCAAGGGCATCAGCACCGACCTCTACGCCGTGTTCGCGGCGCTCGTTTCCATCAGGAAGAAGCTGACCACGAGGTGAGTGCTAAGCTCACCGAGGCCGACGCCGAGCGGCGCACCCCGCGTGAGGCGTCCCTGACACCGCACCACGCATCACGGCCCGTGTGCGAGCGTGCCAACTAATGCGCGCTGAGCGCTGGGTGCCGCCAGCAGCCGCAACCCACTGTCCGATACCACGGGGCAGATCCATGGTCTCGAGCTTGCGGCCGATCAGGCCTCCTCCCGCTGTCCGCGTGCTGTGCGGCCCCAGCGCCGTTGCTATGCTCTCACGTCCTGTGCCCCCGCGCCGCGGAACGACAGCGACCCGCACCCAACCGCAGCAGGCTGACGTTTCGTATCACGTAGTTGCGTCGTGTACACAGCGTCTCGGCGCCCTGTTGCCGGCAGCACGGACTGCGCTGGCCAGTGCCGCCCATGTGTGCGCGTCCGTGCGTCGCCACCCACGCAGGTACCCCGACTTGATCGCGGAAGCGGAGGAGCTGTTCCCGGACGAGCGAGAGCCAGAAGACTAGACGAGCATGCCCAAGTTCTCTGCCGCCACGGTGAAGCTGAAGCTGAGGTGCGCGAGCAGGGTTCTGCTGTCACCGGAGGGCTCGCGCAGGGCGGGACGAGACTCACCTGCTCGCAGCCCTGCTGGCCGCATCCGGCAGTGCCCTGCCTTTGCCTGGATCCGTCCGGCGTCTCGCGCTGCAGCCATGCGGCCCCACTTGACACAGTGTGCGCGTATCAGCAGCTGCTGGAGTCGAGCCAGTGCTCGCACAGTCGCCGTTCGATGATGGAGCGCGACCATTGCGTCCGCGCCCGTCCGCAGGCACACCGATGGGGACATCGACCTCGGCGAGCAGCCAGCGACGCTCACGGGCGCTGCAGCGCGGCAGCTGGCCATCAGCCACTGGCCCACAGAGGGCCCGCTGGCCGCGCACGCCCCCGCCAACGCCGCGTGCTTGCGGCTGATTCTGAACGGTGCGAGCCACGCGCCCCCCGAAGTGGCCTTGAACAGCGCCGCCGGTGCTCGCCGCGGCACGCGCATCGCACGAGCCCTGCTCATGCCGGCGCCACGCCCGCGCCGCCCGCGAGTGTGCAGGTCGAACGATGGAGCCGTCGGGCAGCCTCGAGCCGACGTGGCAGATGCTTTCTGGCGGGGACCCTGGGGACGTGCCGGTGGTCACGTTGCATGCAGTAGTGCGCGAAGACGGCAAGGCGGGCAAGCAGGGGGGCAAGGACGACGGAAGCGGCGACGGAAGCCGGTCGCGGAGCTGCTGCGTCGTGCAGTGACGAGCGAGCTCGCGCAGCCTGGTCTGCTGCTGTCACCCGCCGGCCACTGTCCTGAGCCCTCGATGATTGCGTGGCAGCGGCGATGTGACGCATCATGAGCGGAGCGAACCGCGCACCTTGAGGGCGGCACGGGCGCACGGTGGCCGGGAGGTGGTCACGCGCAACTCGCCAATGCTATGGTGTTGTGCTGCGTTCTCGTCGCGCCTCTGCCCGTCGAAGGGAGCACGAGTTGCGCCACTGTATGCGTGCCGTGGCTCTGTTACAGTCGCCACGTGCACCGGCCCCGGCTCGGCCTGCACCAACACCTCCTAAGACTCCCCTCACTGCCACCAGCTGTCGTTGGCGTTGCCGCCCAGGAACACCGAGCCCTCACCGCCTCTGGCACTGGCCGCCTCGGAGAACGCCTGCAGCTGCCGGAGCCCCGTCACGGCCGACTGGCGCCGCTTGGCAACCTCCTCCCTGTCCGTCACCTTGGCCCCGTCGCGGAAGTCCTGCCGTATCGACTCGATGAGACCCGCCCGGTTGCTGCTCGGGAAGTTCCTGCGCGCCCACGCCCCGCGCCGTCGCGCAGTGAGCGATGCCGCCAACTGCGTCACAGTCAGCGGCGTGCGGGCGCTGCGTCGGGGCGGGACCCACCTCGCAGAGCGCATGATGGATCTGTACAGAGACAGGACGTCCAGCGAGAAGGGGTCCGCGGCAGCCGCGGGCACGTTGCTGCCGAACGCGCGCTCCGCACACCCCGGTAGGGTTCCCGTCAGGCGACGCGCCGCGATCATCCTCCCAAAAAACTACGGGCGGCAGCGAGCGAGCTCGCCGACGCCTCACGGGCGGAGGCGCTGCTTCACTGCTGCTTGCCAGGCGCGACCGGCGCGGCACGGCCAGGTGCAGCGCCACCACGGGCGCTCGTGCACTCCCGGAGCGCCTTGACGGCTTCCTGGCAGCGTCGCCAGTCGCGGTCGTTGTCGGCGAGGCAGTCCTCGAGCTTGAGGTACGGTGCGCGACACGCGGGGGCGAGCGAGGTCTCCGGGTCGATGTCCGCCGCAGACGTGCCGTGGTGCGCCATGCAGCCGCCGCCTCGCGGATCCGCCGCCGGGAAGTCGCGCGCTCGAACGTCGCACGAGCAAGGATGCCGCGAGGCGCACTGATTTCGCGCGGGACCGGGCGAGGTGCAAGCTCCCGCGAGCAGCTGCCGGTTGCCAGGGGTGGAATGTGCCTCGCCACGCCCTGAATGCGGACGAACCAATGCGATTGCCTCCGCTTCGAAGTCTTGCGGGTACCATGTGGGGCGGCGTGCCTCCGTTCGCCGCCTATGGGCCGCCGCGGTGGGCCAGCGTCAGTAGCACAGGGGCGTGAGTTGTGTGGCGCGTCCCGCCCCGGGCCCGCCGCTGCCTGGCGCCCCGCATCGAAGGGCCCGTGCCGTCTTCGCGCCCTCCACATCGACTGCGCATCACGGGCACGCGTGGCGGGCCCGAAGTCCGCCTGTTCCGCGTAGTTGCTGTTTGGTGAGAGGCGTGGACGGGCGCGCCAACTCCCGGCCTGCGGCCCGCGACGAGCCGTTGCTGCTGGGGTTCTCCAAGCGCTTGAGGACTCCAGTGCCTTGCGGTGCCGAATCTGCGCGGACGCGGGCGGGCGCCACGGAAACGAGGCTAGCGACGGGTTTCTCCGCGTCGCCGGGAAGCTGCCACGCCGCACAGCGCACGCACGATCAGAGATCACATCAAAGAATCATATGCGTCGCGACCACGGGGCATGAACGGAGCCGCGCGGGCCACTCCGCGGTTGCCCTCCTGATCTACAGGAGTACTGCAGCCCAGGTCTCAAGGGCCGTCGCGCTCGGGCGTGCGGGCATCCCGCAGGTACGCGGGGGCTGCGCGCGACATCGCACCTGCGCAAAGCGACGCGCACCGCCTGCCGGCCGCCCCCCGCAGCTGCTAGGCGCGGGTGCCCCGCATGATCAGTTGGGCCGCCACACGCGCAGCTCCGCGGCGCTGCACGCCCAGCACGACCCGCATTCGCAAGTTCCGGCCGTGAGAAAGCCCCGCAGCAGGCACCGCTGACCGCCGAGCCCCTCACGTCGCCGCCCGCGCCGGTGCCACCTGCAGCAAAGCTTCCTGCGCAGCACGCCGGGAGAGCAAACATGCACTTCACGGCAGTCCTGAGCTACCATGCCCAATCCGAGGATGTCTCCACGGGCAAGGTGTCGTTCGCCCCGGAGCCCACGCCCCTGCCGTCTGCAGACCTGCAGGCCCTGCGGAGCGCCCGTGACGCCGTCGCGAGCGTCAAGCAGCGCGTCGGGGCGGCGATCAACTCCCTCACGTCGATCTACACCCCGGGGATGCCCCACGTCGGCGTCCTGGGCCAGATGTGGCTCCCCGGGCCCCGCCTGGGCGCCACAGACTCGGGCCACCACTCCGAGCAGGGGACGAGCGCGCACGACAGCCGCGCGGGCGCGGACGACGAGGTCTTCCTCCACACGCGCGGCGCGCCGTTCTACGTCGCGGGCGAGGACGACATGCTCACGCAGTTCCGCATGTCGTGCGTGCGCACCGAGTACGCCGTGCAGGGGCCCGCGGTCGCCGTCGGCGAGGTCGGCCGCGTGTTCCTGCGCGCCGCGACCGAGTACACGAGCCACCTCGCGGGGTACACAGTCGCGAGCTACCGCCGCGTCGAGGAGGCGCGCCGGTGCGGCGTCCTGTCGGCGGTGCTCATGCCCGTGTTCGACCCCACCGGCCTCGGCGGCGGCCCCGTCGCGGTCGTCGAGGTGGTCTCCAGCGACCCGACGATCCGCCCGCAGGCGCTCGTGGCGCGCCTCGCGAGCTGCCTGGCCCAGGGCGGCCTCGGGGCGCCCATGAACGACTACGGGCCCGGGCTGTGCTTCTTCCCGGGCCTCGGCGTGGTCCGGGAGTCGGACGCCACGAACAGCAACGAGGTCGGCCACAGCCTCGTCGGCTCCCGCGCGGGCGGCGCCAGCCGCGAGCGCCTCCCGTCGGACGGCAAGGATGCGTCGAGGGAGGGGCGCGGCAGCGGCGGCGAGGACCCGGCGGGGGCGCACCCGGGGGGCGCGCCGAACGCGAGCAGCCCGAACGGCGGCGCGGGCGACGTGTGGGACCTCTACGGCGACGTGGGGCCGTCTGCGTCGGGCCGGCGGCGGCGGCGCTCCCCGACGGGGGACCTGATGGCGCACGAGGCTGCCGAAGCGACCGGCCTCGGGCCCGGCGCCAACGCGATGCTGGCGCGCAAGGCGCGCGTGACGCGCGACTTCAGCGTGATGTCGGACCGCTCGGAGAGCTTCGGGATCGGGGGCCGGGCGCTGTCGGTCTCGGAGAGCCTCATGGCGGGCCTGGGGGGCATCGCGCTGTCGCGGCAGTCCTCGGGGGGGGTCGAGTCGACGGGGGGCATCTCCGCGCAGATGAGCATTCCCGAGAGCTGGCACCCGGGCGAGGACCCCGCGCTGGTTGGGGCGCGCGAAGTTCCCATCATGACCACCACCACGTCGCTGCGGCGGAACCTGCTCACGCGGAGGATGCACGGTGCGCACACCGCCCCGCGACGCTCGCGCCCGCCCGCCAAACGCCCCTGCACCCGCACCCGCGCCGCGCCGCAGCCCTGTGCTGATGCCGCCGCCAGAGCAAGAGCCCCCTCGCCTCCCCCCCCGCGATGCGACGCAGACGACGCCCCCGGTGACCTGGAGCTCGACGACGGAGCACGGGGCTCGGACGGGCAGCCCGCGGGGGTCGCCAGCGAGACGGCGACGCCCGGCACCGGCTCGCCCGCATCGGGGCGTGGCTCGGGCGGCTCCAAGCGGCGCAGCCTGCGCCCGCGCACCCAGGCCGCGGCGCCCACGCCGCAGCCCGAGGCGGTTTCGGCGGACCAGCTGCGCGTGGATTCGCTCGGGCGCCGGCAGGGCACGGGCCGCAAGCTGACGCTGGCCGACCTGGAGGCGCACTTCCACCTGGGGCTGAAGGAGGCCGCGGCGGACCTCGGGGTGTGCCCGACGACGCTGAAGCGCGCGTGCCGGCGGTTCGGCATCGCGCGGTGGCCGCGGCGGCAGCACCTGGCCGCGAAGCAGGACGAGCTGAGGTCGCTGGCAACGGCGCTGGAGCCGCACAGCCCCAAGACGGGCGACCGCACGACGGACCATGGCTTCGCGAAGGGCGACGTGCAGCGGATGTCGTCGGGGCACCTGGTGTGGAACGCGCACGCCAGGGGGGCGGACAACGGCGTCGCGCTGCTGACTGGGTCGGGCAAACTGCAGGCTACGCACGGCTCCGGGGACGCAAACACCGCACGCGACTCGCTGACGGGGGCGGCGACGCGCATGTCGCAGCCGGGGGCGCTGACGCGCTTCTCCCACCCCGGCGGCGACGCGGCCCTTCACGTGGCCCGCGCGTCCCAGCTAGGGGGCGACGCGGCGGGCGGCGCGCCGCTTGTTCAAGCTGCGTCGCACGACCTTCTCCGCGGAGTTTCCCTGGAACCCCCAGAGCCTGGCGCGCCCGGCGTGCCCGCGCCCGCGCCCGATCCCGCGGAGCCGCCGCTGGAGAACAAGCCCTCGGCCGAGGGCCTCGGGGCGCTGCGGGGTCTTCGGTGGTCGCAGGATGGCCAGGGGGGCGAGGACGACCTCTTCGCCGCCGTGGATTTGGAGATGCCGGACCTGCCCGTGCCCGAGGACTTGTGGGACGCTCTCAGGCGGGGGGACTGACTGACGAGGCGGTCGACGCGCCGCGGCGGGACCCGCGACGGGCGTTTGACCCGCCCCGCGGGGCACTCCTCTCGCGACTGGGATCTATCTAGGCGCAGAGGGAAGCGTCGCCCGGGAGAAGCGACCCGGTCGACCGCTTGCCACCGGCGCGGGGGAGTGCCTACAGCACGCTTACACTACCGACTCCGCCGCCCCACTGGCGCGGAGAGAGATGCCGATGCACGCAGGCGCTAGGAGCCCTTTCTGTCGAACCACCCGTGCCGGCCCGTAGGCGGCGGTGCGCTGTAGGTCACCCCGGCCCCAGAAGCAGCAGCTCTAGGGACTTGCATGACGAGGCGGCACTGTGTTACGTGATTGCGCATCCAACCGTTGATGCCGCGACTCACGGCAACCTTGCGGCGGGTGCGGTGGCAGCGTGGAAACACACCCCCCGGCGGGGGAACTCTGTAAACTCGCACTGACTCATGTCGGTCGGACTCTGGACGTGCTGCTGGACCGAGGCACAAAGGACCGTCGTCACCTGGGGTCGTGCAGAGACTCACGCAGCACGCTGAACGATCCCCGCATTGTCTCCGTTGTGCATGACTGTTCACGTTGTCTATCCTGTGTGGTGTGCCGCACCGTTTCGGTCGCTCAAGCATCCTCGCGGTGAGGGTGCCTGTAGGTCGGCGAATCACAGACCGCGGCCAGCCCTTGCTCATGCCGTATGCGCTGTACGTACGTGTGGGCCAACAATCAAGTCAACGCCGCCCCCAGTGCGCACGCCGATGACAAGCAAGCTGGAGCACATGGCGCCCTTCGTAGCGATGCCTCTCGCCAGCGCTGGGGCGGCCTGGCCCGCGTCGCCAGGCTGGGCCGCCGTGGGGCTAGTTGCGCTGCAACATCATCACGTGATCGCTCGCATGTCGCGCGGGCGGCGCGCGCATCGGCGGCCCTCGCTGCGCGGGAGGCTCGAGATGAGGCGGCCGGCGTGGACGGCTGGGGTCGTTGCGCGGAGCAGCGCCGATCGCCTTAGGCCCCTCAGCTGCGTGGCGGTTGGCACGTCGCAGGGCAGCCGCAGCGGCGCACGGAGTCCGAACCACTGGGTTGGCGGAGTCCCCCTGCATGTGTGCCGCGCGTCTGCGCCGCACGGGCGCGATGCCGACGGCCCAGTCGGGGCGGGGTGTTGCATTTCGCCGGAGCGACTTGCGTCATGTCGTTGTGGGGCGCCTGGCCACCGCGGGGATCCATGGCGGCGCGATGCGCGCGTACGGGCAAAGATTCCACCGTTCACGCACGGCTTGAAATCGACAGGGCCGGCGGAACGGCGTGCGGCTGCCCTGCGAGGTCGGGCCCGTGAGGTGTACGTGAACTAGCGCGAGGCGAGGGGCGCGATCGATCAAGATGCCGTCGGAAGCGGATCGATTTCGCGTCATGTCGCTACGGACTTCGTTCGCGAAGCAGCCGCTTAGCAACATGAAGAGCTCCTCCTCGTTTGGCTTTGGCACCTCCACTCGCGACCAGTTTGCGCGCACCTACGCGTCTCCCGCGGTGGACAAGTCCAACAGGAACTCCAAGGGGGGCAACTACGGCACCGGTCCCGGGGCGTACAACCCCGAAAACTCGTCGTTCGGCAAGCATGTTGCATCCACCGCCAAGGACGCCCCGTCCTACGGCTTCGGCCAGTCCGAGCGCCTCGTCCGGCCCAAGTCGGCCGTGCCAGGTGCGCCTGCTCCACACCCCGCTGCCGCCCGCCGCCCTGCACCCCAGCCCCGGCCCCGCGAGCCCTCTTTCCCCCGCCCAGCAGCCCCTGCAACCCGGGCCCCCGGCGCACGGCCCCCAGCGTCCGGCCCGGGCCGACGACACCGCCTGATCTGATCGCACCTCGCCTACACATCCGGCTCCCGCGCGTCCCGGCCGCTGACTGCCACCTGCGACCGCCCCCGTGCGCGCGCAGGGCCGGGCTCCTACTCGCACATCGAGACGCTGCACGGAGCCACCGTGTCGACGATGAAGAGCCCGCCCAAGACCGGCTTCGGAACCACGACGCGCGACCAGGCCGCCTCCGTGTTCGTGTCGACGCGCCACGAGAAGAAGCAGGTGCGCGATCGACGGCAGCTGGCCCACCGCGAGCGCCCCGGCTCGCAGCCGCCGACGGGCCGATCCCGCCCCGCAGGCCGCTCCCCGCGCCGCCCCGAACCCCGCTGGCACCGTCCATCGCGACGCTCGCCCCCCCGCCGGAGCACCGGCGCCGCGCTGCCCGGCCCCGCCCAGCGCGCCCTCCGCCACGCTGTCCCGCGCAGTACGCGTCCCGAGGCTCGCCCGGACCCGGCACGTACCAGCCACCGTCGTCGCTGTTCAAGAGCGTCGACGCCACGAAGTCGACAGCGCCGTCGTGGAAGATGCCGGGCGGCGAGCGGTTCAAGTGCGCCCCCTCCCCCCGGCATGCACGCCGTGCATGGCGGCGCCCGCACGCGCCCCTCGACCGCGGGCTGCGACGCCGCGCTGCTCCCGCGCGGGCCGTAGGCGTGCGCCGGCTCCGCCGTTCCGCCGCTCTCGGCCGCATCAGTCTCCCTGCGGGGCGTGTCGCGCCCAGTGAAGCGGGCGGCAGCCTGCGCCCGGGACGCCGCGAACGCGCCCCGTCGGTCTCGCGCGCGCAGGTACGACTACGAGCGGCGCGGGCGGGAGAACCCCGGCGCGGGGCAGTACGAGAACACGGCGTCGATCGGCCAGCAGGCCCCGTCGCACCGCCCCACGGCGCCCAGCCACTCGTTCGGCAACGTCGACCGGGACGGCGCGAGCAAGGTGTTCATGGGGACGCGGGCGTCGAAGACGCAGTTCGCCGGCCGCGCGGCCCCGGGCGCCGGGACGTACAACGCGCCCACAGCGTTTGGCAAGCAGGGGGACTCGCGGGTGAAGACGGCGCCGTCGTCGGGCTTCGGGTCCTCCATGCGCATGGGCATGCCCAAGTCGGAGGTGCCCGGACCCGGCTCGTACTACGCCTGGTGAGGGCTGGCCGCGGGAGTGGTCGCTGTGTCGTGTGATGTTTGCAACGCGCGCTGGGCCGCTCCGCGGACGTCGGACGAGCGCGGGCGGGTCGCGGCTGGGGGCCGGACGGGGCTGGGAGCGGCGCCGCGCCCGAACCGCGAGCGGGGGTGGGTCGGCACGCGCACTGGCCAGGTCCAGTACGGCACTGGGCAGAGCTGACACTCCTCCCCCCGGCCGGTACCACTTTGCGCGGGTCGCTTTGGGCGGCGTTCGGCCCCGTCGCGCCAATTTCAGCCGCGTCTGCAAATTGCAAAGGACGACAACCAGCCAAGCATGGCCCCCCGCGTCCGCACGCGAGAGAAATGACGCGCAACTAAATGCCGAAAGAGAAACCCGCTGACGCTCCGGCGGGTGGCCCGGCAGAACCGTCGCCGCCGCCCGTCGGGAGGACGGATGATAGTTCGCAGATGGAGCAGGCCGCACGCGCCCAGTCGGGGCCCGCCGAGGTGCGCGGGGCGCTCGCACCGGGCAGCCGAGCTCTAGGGGGCTCCGCTCCCCGTGCGGGGCCGCATCGGCCGTGAACGCCGACCCTCTGGATTGCCTCGCGTTCGTTGTGTGCTCGCGTGGAGTTTCGCGCCCGCGTCACGCCCCGGGCGCCGTGCGACGCGGGCGTTGCCTTGAGCGAAGCTAGGTGCCCCGCCTGCCCCCCGCGCGCGGGCCAGTCTCTCACCGAAAAGCGCCCTCGAAATTCCCCGCAATGCAGCACGATCAGCGCGGCGCGGCGGCGGACGGCCACCAGGCGCGCAGCCAAGGCCACCAGCGCAGCAGCAGCGTCGATTGCTCGTCCGCGAAGAGCGTCCAGCGGCCGAGAAGGTGCGCAATCGTTCACGGAGAGGACTTTGTGCGAATGCGCGCCGCGCACAGTCTATCGGGGCCCCCCTCCCGCAACGGTTGCGCACGCGCAACTTGGCTTCCTTTCCGCCCGACCGCGCCGCAGGGGCACTTCCGCGTCCAGGGCGACGGCTGGCGGTTCGAAGAGGAGGGAAACTACGGCCCGGGCGAACACCAAGGCGGGCGGAGTTTCCGCGGCGGGACCGCCCGACGCAGATGCTGCTCCTCTCCTAGCAGAGCGCGGAGCGAAGCAGGCGGACAACGGCGACGGCGAGCTGTCCATGTCCACGGACGCTGCGGGCGGGGAAAGCAAGGGCACCGCGGCCGCGCGGGAGAAGCCCAAGCCGCCGCAGCGCCTGCCCTGCCCGCGCTGCGCCTCGACCAACACCAAGTTCTGTTACTTCAACAACTACAACACCAAGCAGCCGCGGTACCTCTGCAAGGTGAGACGCCGCCGGCCACGTCCCGCGCACGCCGCGCGCCCCCGCCACGGCCGCTCGCGTGCCGAGCGCGCCCCGCCAACCCCCCGCAGGCACCGACCGCCCTCGCTCCCCGCCCCGGGACCCACGTGCGTCGCGCAGGGCTGCCAGAGGTACTGGACCGCCGGAGGCACGCTCCGCAACGTGCCGCCGGGCGCCGGACGGCGGCGCAAGAAGACGGCCGCGAGCGCCCAGCACGCCCCGAGCGCGCCCGCCAAGGCCGACCCCGTGGCGCCGCGGCCGGACCAGGCCAACCTCGGGAACCTCCGGACCTTCGAGAACTACAGCAACATGTACCTCGGAGCGCTTCCGTCGACGTACCCGGCCTTCGGGGGCATGCCCGCGGCGCCCCCCAACCTGCACTCGCTGACGGGCGTGGCCAAGGCCTTCTCGGGGGGCGGCGCCGCGGACTGGGAGCGGCAGCAGGGCGGCGAGGGCTTCGGGAAGCAGAAGCGGTCGGCGCGGCGCGCGGCAGCGACCACGACCGCCCCGCCGTCGCAGCTTGCGGTGCCCGGCGCGCAGGCGGGCCCGCCGGGCTCGCCCGGCAACGTCCCGCCGGGCGCGGGCGGCGCCGGAAACGCCGCGGCGGCTCCCGGCGACGCGGTGATGGCTGCGCCCGGGCCCGACGGGCAGCAGGCGCCGGGGGTGGACGCGCAGCGGCTGCAGGCGCTCACGGCACACATGCTGTCGCGGATCCCGCAGCTCGCGCTGCAGTTCCAGGCGCAGCACCCGCCGCAGTACCCGCACCAGCCGCTGGCGCAGGACGCAGCGGCGGGGCAGGCGTACAACGCGGCGCCGGACCCCGCACACCACCCGCCGCAGCAGGGCCTCCTCAACATCCCGCCCGAGCAGCTGCAGCTGCTGCTGGCGTCGCTGCTGCAGGTGGCACAGACGCAGCAGCATCACCACCACCACCAGCAGCAGCAGCCGCCGGTGCAGCCGCAGCAGCAGCAGCAGCAGCAGCAGCAGCAGCAGCAGCAGCAGCAGCAGCCACAGCCGCAGCCGCAGCCGCAGGCGTCGCCTCAGCCGCAGCAGCAGTCGCCGGCTCCCGTGCAGCAGCAGGGCAAGCAGACTCCGTCGTCTCCGCAGCCGCCGACGGGCGCCCAAGGACCGTTCGTCGCGCCTCCCAGCGCCCCGCCGCTGGTGCCGCCCAGCCAGCCGCCGCTCGCGCCTTCGTGGTCGAGCCTGACTTCGGTGCTCTGGCTGCTGTCGTCGCTCGCGCAGGTCCAGCGCGCGCAGGCGCACGCGCACCAGCCGCCCCCGCAGCACCACGTCTTCGCACAACCACCAGGACTGTCGTCCCCGCAAACGACGTGGGTGCCGACGGCGCAGCAGCAGCAGCAGCAGTCGATGCCGCCTCCAGTGCCGCGTCCTGCGCAAGAGCATCCGCAGCAGCAGCAGCAGGCACCGCAGCCGCAGCAGCCGCAGCCACCGCAGCCGCAGGCCTCAGTGCCCGCGGCGCAGTGGAACGCCATCCTGCAGGCAATGCAGCAGGTTCCGGCGTTTGCGCACGGCTCCAGTCCCCCCTCCATGGCGTCCATCCCCGCCCTCCTCGCGGCGATGCAGCTGCAGCAGCAGCAGGCACAGCAGCAGGCGGCGCCGCCGCCCAACCTGCCGCCGCAGCTCGGGCAGGCGCCGCAGGCGCAGCAGGGCCAGATGCCCCCGCCCGCGCAGCCGCAGCCGGGCCCGCAGGCCGGCGGCGCCCGCGGGCCCGCCAATGGCCCAGGCAGGCTTCCCATGGCCAGCGCAGCCGGGCGGGCAGGCAGGCGAGGGCGGCCACAAGCGCCCGCGCGACGAGTCGCCGCAGCTCGAGCCGCTGCCGGCGTGGCCCCGGAGCGGCGGTCAGCACACGTCGCAGCGCACGGCGCGGCAGGGGCGCAACATGCCAGCCGCGCGCGACGGCGGCGCCGGGCGCGCCGGGGCGGCGCAGAACGGCGCGGACACGCAGGCCACGCGCGGCAGCGGCGCGAACGGCTCTGGCAACGGCAACTCGGGCAACGGCAACGGCGGCTCGGGCAACGGCACGAACATGATGGCTGGCACGGGCACCACGCTCACCAACACGGGCACGGGCAGCGGCAACCGCGCGTCGGGCAACGGCAGCGGCAACGGCAGCGGCAACGGCAGCGGGAAGGAGGCGCCGCAGGAGGCCCAGGGCGCGCTGAAGGACGGCGGCGACGCTGCTGCTGGCGCCAAGGCGCTGCAGGCGCGCGAGGCCGCGAAGCTCCCGAACGACCTGTCCGCGGAGAGCGGGAGCACGGAGGCCAGCAACCCGAATGTCCAGCAGCGCAAGCGCAGCCGCGTGGCGTGAGGCGCTCCCCCCCCTAGTTTAACACGAGCAGGCGAATGCACGCGCAGCGCTACTACTACATCGACGCAGGGCACACCTCCGACGCAGCCGCACGCAGTGCGGGCGCGGAACCACGCTTTCCGAATCGAACGCACTATTCGAGCCCCCCCCCTCCCCGGGGAGTGCCCCCCATCACCGATCTCCGGATCCACCGACGTCGTTACTCCCCCTCCGCTGTTCATTCAACGCCTCCCCCCCTCTCCCCCCCCTCCCCGCCCCAGCCCCCGCCCTTCCCTTCCCCCCCTTCCCTCCTCTCCCCTTCGTTCGAAGACCTGATGCGTCCCGTTCACCCGGACTCTCTTCCCAGAGTCCTGATCGCACGTGTGGGGCCTCCATCATTGGAATGGAGGCTCCCGAGCCCCCGTGCATTCGCACCGCTCCGGCCCGAACTCTGTGCACCATTCCCGCCGCCACCGTCGCGGCTGCCGTGTCGTTTTTGTCCACGCCTCGATGCGTCTCGGACCCGCGGCCGGGTCGCACGGCATCACTCTGCCGCCCCCGCGACGCAAGCGCACTCGAGACCCGTTCGCGCTCGCTCGCACCTGTCTGCCATACTGTTCTGGTCGCTCAAGCCCCCCCCGATCCTCGCGGTCGGGGGACGCCTGTAGGAGCGAACAATCGAAACCCACCCCACGCGACACTGACGTGTTGCATCAGAGCGACGTCGCATTTTTGCCCCCACCCTGCTTCGGGCACGCTCTAGACCGCAGAACGCGCGGCGATGGCCATTCCCGCGTCAGCCTCGACGCATGCCCTGCGGCAGGACCGGCTGCGATCGGTGGCACGCTGCCGCAGTGGCGGCGAATCGCACCTGGCGCCTGGCGGGCACATGCAAACCGCCTCATCCCCCGAACGTGCTGTCGAGTGTAGCGTTGGACCGACTGACATCTGATGCAATCAGCGACCTCCCTCCCTCCCCCCTGCTCCCGGCAAACCACGGCCAGGCGACCCATGCAGCGACTCCTTCGCTCCGAGCCTGGAGTCCCTCCCCCACCCCCCCCGCCTGGTGCCGCACAAACCGTGGGAGCCGCTGCGCCGTATGTCTTCCAGTTGCCGCAGGCCGTGCGCCGGCAGAGACCCGCGGACGCTGACCCGCGCACAGTGGGCTGTCAAGGCCCGGTGGGTGAGCTGTCAAGCAACCCCCCTTCCCCCCTCCGCAGATTGTCTGCGATGCGCTTCGGCTGCTATGTATCTCCACTCTGTACTCCCGGAGACCGCGACCGTGTTCGGCGGCTCGCGCGACGCCTCTGCGCCCCTGCGAGGCGTGGTGCTGGCTGCGTCAGACCCCCCGCAGCGGTCAGTAGCCAGCACCTCCTCACGCCTCCCCTGACTTTCCCCTCTGGCCAAGAGCCGCTTTCAGGCCCTTCAAGCTACCGCGGCTGTCCCTCAGGCCGCCACCTGCGGCGCCCGAAGGCACGTCGCTGCATCCAGCCCGTCACTATATCAACGCAACCCACAGCCTTCCAGAGACACGAGTGCTTCTGCGGGCGCGCGGTCCGGGCGCACGATGCCCGGAGGTGCCCGTGCGTGCAACGCGCCGGCCGGTTGCCCAGCAACATCCCGTGCCATATTGATCTGAAGCTCACCGCCGTTGACGAGCAGCCCCCCCCCGTGGTTTTCTTCATATCAATTTGCCGTGCCTCTGCCCTGCTGTCCACGTACCACCTCGATCGCCGGCTAGCGCAGCCGACGCGAGGCCAGCAACACACCTGGGATCGTTCACAAGCAGGATAGACAATGTGAGCCCTCATGCACGACGGTGAGACACTGCGGGGATCGTTCAGGATTCGCTGTGCCGTGCACGTATTCCGCGGCGTCTCGCTCGCGGTGAGGGTGCTTGTAGGTCAGCAAAGTACTATAGCGAAGAACTAACTACTATAGCGAAGAACTAAGCTCACCTGGACTGTGCTGTCCTGCTTGGTCAAGCGTCTTTGCCGAAAGTTTCCCACCGTAGCGACCACGCGCATGACCGGTGCCTCACTGGCCTGACCGCGATACCGGCATGCCAGGAATGTGGCCGGCGGCCTCGCATGGGGTTGGCGGGATATGGACCCGCACCGAAATTGCCACGTGCCCCTATGCGCCAGTGATGGTCCGCGCTTGCTCTCTGCGACGCGTACTCCACGCACCCCTTCGAATGCACGGAAGTATGCAAAGGCCCGCTGCACCCGTGCCCCTGCCTGTAGGTCAGCGAAGTACAAACAAAGGAAACGCAAACGTACCGCTTCGGTCGCTCAAGCATCCTCGCGGTCGGGGGGCGCCCGTAGGTCTGAGAACAATCACAGCGAACAGCAAAAACACACCGCTAATCTAGATTTCCGACGGCCATCAGCAAGCTCGTTCGCTTTGCTGAAAGTAATTCAACCACTGCGTGTGACCAGCTGCCCTGACCGCCCGCCGCGACGTGCGCAGCGACAGCGAAAGCACAAGTGTTTCGATCCGCTTGCGTGGAGCTCACCTGGACTGTGCTGTCCTGCTTGGTCAAGCGTTGTGCCGAACGTTCCCCACCGTAGCGACCACGCGCATGACCGGTGCCTCACTGGCCTGACCGCGATACCGGCACACCAGGAATGCGGGCGACGGCCTCGCATGGGGTAGGCGGGATATGGACCCGTACCGAAAGTGCTACGCGCCCCCATGCGCCAGTAATGGTCCGCGCTTGTTCTCTCCGAGGCGTACTCCACCCAGCCCGACAATCCCACGAAGTTAGTGAAGGCCTGCTGCAGCCGTGCCCCTACGGCGGCGCGGTGGCAGCGTGGGTACACACCCCCGGGGGGACTGGCACACTGACTCATGTCGGTTGGACTCTGGACGTGCTGCTGGACCGAGGCATAAAGGCCCGTCGTCACCTGGGGTCGTTCAGAGACTCACGCAGCACGCTGTGCGCTTCCTGAACGATCCCCGCATTGTCTCACCGTCGTGCAGGTGTGTGTACGACATGCATGACTGCTCACATTGTCTACCCTGTCTGCTGTGTGAGTCTCGCCTGCCGTACCATTTCGGTCGCTCCGGCATCCTCGCGGTGAGGGTGCTCGTAGGTCAGCGAAGTACTAGCCCGCATTTCACCTGCTGCGCTGATTCGCATGTCGCGAAAATGGCGAGTCGACATTCAAGTTCAAGTTGTGGCCGGGTCGGCAAGACTGGTCCTCCTGGACGCGCAACCGTGCGTCCAGCCCTCGAAGACCCGCGTCGAGGTGCGATGTGCCGTTCGGGCGCCCCCCGTCGACGCCAGCGCGTGTCATACCCACCTCGCCCGACTAGGGGCACCGGCCAGTGGGCACGCCCTGTCCGACAGGGGCCGCGCGCTGCGCTCTTTGGCATCCGCGCGCACGCCGGTGCGCTGAGCTGTGTGCGGTGACGTCGGCGACCTTGCACCCTGGGCGAAAGACGTCGGCGGAGCGAACTAAAGGGAGGCGTTGTCTCAAGGCCGCCTGGGGCGCGCCCGCGGAAGAATGAGCGCTGCCGAGGCCCAGGGGGGCGGGGACGATGTGTCAGCGTCGCGGTCGGACGTCCAGCTGATCCAGGAGGCGCTGCGGAACGAGACGGCGTCGCCAGAGCTGCTCCCACACTGCGAGCCGCTGGTGCGCAGGCTGCAGGAGAAGCTGGAGCTGGCGGAACAGGCCATCGAGGAGATGCAGGACAAGGAGGTGAGTGTGCGGTGCAAGCAGCGCGCCCGACAGCGCCTCTGTGGGCGCTGCTGCCGAGAGTTCGCGCACACAGCTGCCTTGGGCGCCCAGCGCAGTTTGTGCGCGCGAGTGCGCACCATCCGTAGGGTTCGGGCCGCGCTTCCTCGACGAAAACGAGCCCTGCGACATCAAAGATGACAACGCGCACCGCGACACGGTCCTCGCCTGCGCGTGCGGCGCCTCCCTGGTGCCCAGGTCGCGGGCTTTTGGCGTCAAATGCGCGGGCCGGCAATGGCCGCCCGCACGCGCCTCCGCCCGATCTCCCGCGCACGCTGCGGCGTCCTGCAGGAAGAGAACGTGCTGCGGAGATCCCTTCTGGAGCTGGAGGTGCAGCGGATAAGCTACGCGCTGCGGGGCTACCTGCGGCGCCGGCTGGGGAAGATCGAACGCATGGTGATGCACCTCCTCAAGGACGAGAACGAGCGCGCGCGCATGACCGACGCAGAGGCTGCCTTCGCGAAGGAGTACTTCAGGCGCGCCGCCCGCTCCCGGCGCCCCACGCCGTGCCGGAGGCGCTGCACCGCCCTCACCTCCGCCCCGCGCTGACGCTCCGCCCCCCGCCCGTCAGGCACCCCCGACCGGCTCGCTCACGACGGCCGCGCGTGCGCAGGCTCTGGGGCGGGCACATGCGCGACAACGTTCTGGGCCACCTCCCGGAAGCGTTCCGGGGCATCACCCGGCAGACGGCGTCCTCGGAGGCCGACGACATGGTGCCGCGGCCGGACCTGAGCGCGTACGTGTGCGCACGTGCGCACCAGGACGTCACAATCCACGTCGGGGTGCGCCCGCGCCCGCAGCGCCGCGCGTGCCACACGTGCAACCAACGCAGCGCAGCGCACACACCGCCGCTGCCACGCGCGCTGGGCCGCCCGAAGCGCTGGGCGTGCCACAGTGCCACGCGACCTCCCTCCGCCGCCCCGCGCCGCAGGACCTGGAAACGGCGACGCTGAAGGCGGGGGGCACCGCACATATGGTGCCGTATGCCTCGGTGAAGGCCCACGTGGAGTCCGGCGCCGTCTTCCTCGAATAGCGCCCCGCCTCGCCCGCCCAGCGGCGGGCGCAGCGTCCGGCCAGCGCCCTGCCGCGCGCGCTCGCCCCCGCCCCCGCCGTGCCGCGTGCGTGCAGTACGTGTGTGCAACGGCCTCGTCGCCGGCGCGCCCTCGGCCGTGTGATGACGTAGGGACGCGCGCAGCGCTGTGCTGCCCGCGCGGCGCCCCCCGCGCTCCGCGTGGCCACCACGTCGCCCGCCCGCCCCCGTCCGACTCGCGACCGTGCGCCGGCGGGTCTTTGACCGGCGCTCTGCGGCCCGCTGGCACTCGCCGCCGCACTGGCCACCGCCGCGTCCACAGCCCCGCGCCCCGGATCGTTCTTTCGCCGCCATGACGCACAAGTACCGCGGCTACCGGGACTTCGCCCTCCCGGAGTCGTTTGCCTTCTGGGGACGGCCGCACTACGGGGCGCTGCTGACGCCGCCGACGACCGAGACGCACACGAGCTTCTCCCCGCGTCGCGGAGAGACGCACGGGTGGACCTCGCGCTCCAGCGGGTCGCCGGAGCCGGTGAGTGGCGCCTACGCGCCTCCCCTGCACGCTGGGGAACAGGGGCGCCTCCTTCGCGCCGGGCCGGCGCTCGCGGGAATGCGGCGCGCGGTGGGACGGCAAGATCGCAAGTCGGCGTTGCGTCCGCCTCGTTTCGGTCGGAGGGCGGCCCGCGCGCGCCGCAGCGGGCGTTGAACGACGACGAGCGCGAGCCGCCTCCGGAGGCCGTCTGCGCTCGTGACGCGCCGATTTCGATCTCGAATACCTGCCATGGCTGATCTCCAATCATAAAGCGTGACTCCCGGCGCCTCGGGCGAAACTGACCCGCGCAGGCGCCCTTGCTTGACCCTGGGAACGAGGGTGCCTCCCGCCGCGCACTGCTTCCTCCGACACCCGCGTGACTTCTCCGCCGCCCCTGCAGCACATGCGAGTGCGTGGCACCGCCAACCTGGAGACCACGGGCATGGTCGGATCGCCGGTGCACCGCGGGGCGCGCTCGGCTGCTGCGTCCCCCATGCTAGGGTAAGGGGGCCGTGTCCACGCGCTGTCAGACCCTGCGCGCACCCCAGTGCTCGCCTGACACGATGCTCGCACTGCACGGACCGCGAGCGCCCGGAAAGTACCGCGGCGGCGGCGATGCGGGAGCGGTCGCGCTCTGCGCCTCGTCATGTTGGTGGCGCCACCGTCGTCGCGGCTCGACACGCGCGCTCCCGCACTCATGCCGCCCGCAGGTCCACGACAGGGGCCTCGACGATCAACTCGCGCCCCTCGACGGGGCTCGGGGCGACCGCGCGCAGCACCGCGGCGTCACCTACGTGGAAGGAGTGCGCAGCCATCGACGGCGGCGTGCGGTGCGACCCCGCGCCCCTCGCCGCGCCCGCGCCGCGCCCGCGCCGCGTCATGCCGCCAGCCGCCCCGTCGACCGCGGCCGGCGCGTCCGAGACCCTGTCCGCGCGCGCCGCGGCGTGCTCGTGTCGTCTGGCGTCACACCTACTCCCCCCCGCCTCGGAACCCATGCGCAGGAACCTGTGCTCGGCGTGGACGCCGTCCCGCCCCACCTCGCCCGTCCGTGCGCACGGCAAGCACGCCGGGAGCGACGCGTGGTCGACGCAGTACATGCGCATGACGGACAACATCCCGCGCGCGCGCACCCAACGCCTGCCCAAGCTGCACCTGTGAAGGCCCCGGGACGAAGAGGGACGCGGGCCGTCGCCGCTGCGCGCGGACCCGGGCGCCGCGCGCCGGCTGAGCAGGACCGCTGCTGGACGTGGCGCATGGCTGCCCCCTACCCCACACCCCCCCCCCTACGCCCCTCTCCCCTAGCACCGGCGGTCCTCCGCGCTGTCGCGCCAGGACAGCGGCGCGGCGATGATGCCGAGGCGGACGTCGTCGACCCGCGCGTGATCATCACGGCCGGCAACTGGTGCCACGCAAGGCTACGATGTTGAAGCAGTTTGTAACGACCGACCAAACAAACACGCGCATCTGCCCCGAACGCGGCTCCTCACAGCGGCACGGCGCACGTGTTCCCCGCCTCTCCGTCACCAGTGCGCCTGACACCTCCCATCCTGCAAAACCCCCCGCCGCGCCCAGTGCGCGGAGACGCGCCCCCGCCCCGTCCGCGCCGCGCGGCGTCACACGTGCGGGACCTCGGGCTTCGGCGCGTCGTGCGGCTGCTGCTGCAGCGGCAGCGTCACCTTGAGCAGCCGCATGGCGGGGACGAATCGCGCCCGGCCCTGCCGGTGCGCCACCGCCTTCGGCAGGTGCACGATCAGCTTCCCGTGCCCGCACCGCGTCGCGTCGAGCGCCACGTGCCGGCTCGAGCACTCCAGCTTCACGTCGGCCACGGTGCTGGCCTGCGGGAGCTCCACCTCGAGGACCATCGAGTCGAGCCCGCGCTTGCGGCCCCGCTTCAAGGTGTACTTCGGCTCCTGCGCGGCCGCCGCCGACTCCGCCGTCCCGGCGCCCTCCGCCGTCGCGCCGCCCTGCGCCTCGCGCACCTGCGCCGCGTCGAGCGTCCTCGCCCGGCCGATGTCGACGGGGCGGTCCGACGCGTGCGAGGACTCCGCGACGCCCGCGCTAGACGGCGACGTGACCTCCTCCTGCAATCCAGGGCCGTGCGCCGCGCGATGGGTGGACGCGGCTGAACATGTGCACACACACACACACGCGCGCTGCGGGGTCTACGGGGGGTGGGGGTTGGCGCGGCGTGCCTGGGGTCGACCGGGGAGTTTGTCTGGCGTGATGTCGGTGAGCGGCGCCGTGGAGGACGAGAACGCGAAGCTGGTGTCGTGGTTGTCGCCCGCGTGGCTGTCCTGGGTGCGGGCGGGCTGGGGCGGGGTCGCCGGGGAGCCCGCGGTGCGTGCGGCGGCCGGCGAGTCGCTCCCTGCGGCGTTGCCGGCCTGCTCCGGCGCGCCCTCTGCCGAGGGGAGCGGCAGGGCGGGTGGTTTGCTAGTGGCGTCGTCAGGTGTGGCCGGCTGAGCGCCCGCGCGGCGCTGCGAGAGGAAGCTCGACACGGGGATCTCGCCGGTCGTCGGGACGGTCAGCGGAACCGAGGCCGTCGGCTCCGGCGTACGGACGTCGTCGTGTCCACCGGCCACTGCGTCGCCAGTGGCGCGGTCAGGCCGCGGGGCGTCGGTGTTGGGCGGATCGATTACGTGCAGCGCAGCCCTGTCGTGGTAGACATACTCGTACGGATCGCTCCCGGAGCCCTGGGTGCGCGTCTCCGACGGCGTCGTGGCTGCCTGCTGCGGGGGGGCTTCCGGGGGCTGTGGAGGCGGAAACTGGGGCGGCGGCGACGTCACCGACGCGAGGAGCTTCATGATCTCATCGGGGACCGGCTTCGGGCCCTGCCGGTCCGTGGACGCGCTCGTCGCCCCGGGGCCCGCGGGTGCAGAAACCTCTCTGATGACGTCTCCGGCAAACTGCAGCGACGGGCCTCGCGAGCGCAGCGAACGTCAACACACCGCGCAGCACGTTGAGCGCATGTGCGACAGCAGACAGCACGCGCTCGCCGCCAGCCTCTCGCCACACCTCGTCGCTGGCGCTGGTTGCGAGCCGCAGCTTCTGCTCCTCCGCGTCGTCGCTCGCCTTGTCGCGCTTCCGGGGTGACGCCGGCTCGTCGTCGCCCTCGTTGTCCTGCGCGAGAATGAAGGCCACGCGGGCCGCGAGGGCCACCGTCAGCGCCCACACCCAGCCACGCGCCATCCTGCAGCTTCAAGTGAGCGCCTCGTCTGCTGGCCTTTGCCCGTCGCCTCGCGCGCGGCCGGAACGTGCGCGGCCTGCAACGTGACACAGCGCGCGACCTCGCTGGCCAGAAACGCCCGAACGGGGCCGCACTGGCGGACCGTCCGGGACTGTTGAACTGAGGGGGAGTGTGAGGGGTTTTGTTCCCGACAGACGGGTCGCCAATTTCATCCCCCGCGACTTGCTCGGCCAGGCACAACCCGCCAGAAGGTGCACCCCGATCCAACGCGCGCAGACACAACACAGCGCTGCCCACACGGCGCCCCCGCTGACGGATTCACGGCGCACGCGTCTTCTGCGGGGCTTCGCGCCGATTTTCGGGCTCGTTCGGGGACCCGGTGAATCTCTGGTGGCTGACAGCATCAGCCATCATCAAGGCAGTGCCATCTCAGCCGCTCTTACCGATTTCAGAGTAGTGTGCAACTTGGCCTATTGCGCAACACCCCTCGCTGACTTTCAGGCCGCACGAGGCGTCCTGCTACGTCGCTTGCCACTTGATCTATCGAGAGCAGCGCTGAGGTGCCGCTCCACCGCGCAACGGGCCGGTTGCGGCCCCCCTTGGGTGCACGCAGCAACAGAGTGGCCCCGCTAGCGCCCCGTGAGGTCGCCGCGGCGGCTGACAGGATCCCCGCTCGAACGATATACGAACGTTGATTGCGTTAACTCGGCTCGCGCGCGCTCCTTGACCCTAGAGTGGCCTCAGCGGAGCACTGCTCAGCGGTCGACACAAAGTGCAAGCTTCTCTGAAATCACGAGTAGCTGCGGCTCCCCCATGGCACGTTGCGAGAGTTAGTCCCTTCACTCTCGCTGCCCCGCGCCGCCAGCCGCTGGCACGGGCGCCGCCTCCACGCATCCGGCCCCGCTTGGTCGTGATTGTCAACCAGGATGAGGGAGGCGACCCACAGCGGCGCCGCCGCGGTGGTTGCGATGCGCGTCACCCTGGTCCTCCTCGCCAGCGCGCTCGCGCTCCTGGCGCTGCACAGCCCGCGGCTGTTCGCCGCAACGGTCGGCCTCCCTGTCCTGGCCGCGAAGATGTTCCCCTGGCACAAGCTGCATCGCGGCCGCCATGCAAGTCGACGCATGTCAGTGGACTTCCGCGAAGCCGGCAGCCCCCCCGCGCAGGCGCCGGGCGTGATCAGTCTGTCGTCGGACGAGGACGAGCCGGACGGCGAGGTCGACGACGCTGCGACCGCAGGTGCGACGCGCTCCCCGCGCTGCCGGCCGCACGCCGCGATGTGTGCTGTGCGTGACAAGGTGTGTTGCTGCGGGGCGACAAGGGGGCGCGTCCGTGCGTGCAACGTGCAGAAGTGCTGCACGCAGACTGGGCGGCGCTGAGTGACGACGACATGGCGCAGTTGGCGTTCGAGGGCGAGGGGGCGGTGGTTCTTCTGCCGACGGGGCGGGGCCTGCCGCACGGCGACGTCACGCGGGAGCACGTCCGGTGCCTTCGGCCGCACGGGTGGATCAATGATGAGGTCGTGAACGGGTTCGTGCGGCGCCTGCGCGAGCGCGACGCGGCGTGGCGCGTGCAGCCCCCGCCAGGCCACACCCCGCCCCGCGTCGTCGTGATGGACTCCTTCTGGTTCACGCGGGTCGCGCCGGACGGCACGGAACGGACCCGGGGCTACTCGTACGGGGACCTCGTCGGGTCCGACCTCGTGCTCGTGCCGGTGCACGACAGCGGCAGCCACTGGGCGCTGGCGGTGGTGGACTTCGACGAGCCCGTGGGGCGGCTGTGGTACTACGACAGCCTTCACCAGTCCGGCGAGGAGCATCTCGAGCGGCTGTCGGCTTGGGTGGCGCGCGAGGCGTCCACGGGGGCGCTGCGCGGGGTGTGGCAGCGGTGCGGGGACGTGCGGGCGTGGACGCGGGGGCAGCCCGCGCGGCTGCCGCGGCAGAGGAACGGCTACGACTGCGGCGCGTTCATGCTGTGCTTCATGGAGGAGTTGGCGCGGTGGGGCACGCGCGGCCGGATGGTCGGGGGCGAGGGGGACTGGCGGGGGGGAGTGTTGCGTCGGCGGGTGCTGTCAGGGCTTCTGCGGGGGCTGCCACCGGGTTGATCCGACGGGGGGCCACGCAAGTCCGCAGGGCCGGGGGCGTGCAGCCGGTGGTGACGCAAGCAGATGGACGGGGAGTGGTTCCTGCCCGCGTCGTATGCTGCGAGGCTGCGAGTGCCGAGAGGCTCATACAGCAGCGTGCGGAGGCTGCCGAGGGCATGGACGATGGAGGAGCTGGAGGTGAAGCGGTGCAGAGAGCTGGACTGGGAGGGCACGGCGGAGATACTTGGCGGTGCCGCGAGACTGCGGGTGCTGAGTGCGCGCTACAGCGACATGCGGAGCCTGCCGGAGTTCCAGCGCGCGCTGGAGGAGCTGTACGTTGCTGGGTGCAAGAGTCTGACGGGGACGCTGGAGCAGAGCGTCGCGGACCGTCTGCGCTGGTGGGACGTTCGTGGAACTCGGCTGGCGCTGCCGGCGGGGATGGAGGAGACGAGTTTTGGGTGAGGTGCTTGCGGTCCTGCTCAAGGATGCCGACGGCCCGTGTGAAGCCCCGCGTCGTGGTCGGCCGCGTCGTGTCTCGCCGCGCTCTCCCGCCCCCGTCCGGGCGCCCTTGCAGCACACAGTGCTCCCGCTGTTGTTGCAGCCAAGCTGCCGTGGCGGTGCCTCCGACGCTGCGTCCGCTGACACGTCAGTCATCGCTGGGGTCTGTGCGCACTAATAGGCGCGCGTGCTGGTGCGCGGGCGGGTGAGTGAGCGACCGCCTGCTGCGTCCTGCGCCTGCGGGCGATGCGAGAACACCGCAAGCACTGCGGGTCTCTGGGCGCCTACAGCGCAGCACAGCAACATGCACGCACGCGACCACGACCGCGCGCGCCACCAGCACCGCGTACCTCGCGGCCTCGGACGTGCGCTTGCCTGGTGCGGCACCCGAATGCACGTCGTGTCAATGACCAGCCGTTGTGGCGGGGCTGTGCCGGCGGGACCGTCGAGCGTGGTGCCGTCCGGACGTCGGATGGCGTATTCTGCCACGGGTCGCGGTGGCGACGGCGGCGATGTTGGGCCTGGGGTGCGTGGACGTGCCGTGTGGTTCCTCGACGGCAAACAGGGCCGATTGCGTGGGGCGGGAGCTGACAGCCGACGACAGCAGCCTGCGGCATGTTTCCGAAGACACGGGTGCGCTGGAGGAGCTCGAGCTTGCGCTCGGACGAGCTGTGCCTCAGCGCGTCGTCCGCCGCTGCTGCAGGCGCGCACCGCAGCGGTGCTGCATCATGCGCGCACCGAGTTGCCGCCGTGCGTCTGACGCAAGCACGACGGGCCTCGCGCCGCCATGTCGATCCAGGGGCGCGGACGTCGCGGGCCGACAGCTGCTGGCGGCGCAGGGATCGCTGCGCACTTCACCGAGTGTCGCGACGGACATGGGTGTCGGGGGGGGGAGTGTCACGGTGTGGGGGCAGGCGGTCCGGGATGTGCGCAGGCGTGCGTGTATGGGCGAGGCGATGCTGACGTCGCTCCGGGGCGGCGGCGCGACCCGAGGTCGCAGCTGAGGCGCCAGTTGCAGGCTGGTTCGCGCGGGTGCGGAGGGGTGCCGCGCGGTGGCTGTGTCGCCGGCGGTGCGGGCACGGGTAGCTCGACTGGCTGCGGGCGCCGAAAGTAGCGCTGCTTCCGCGGGTGGACCGTGGTGGCGGTGCGCGCATGCGGCGTGGGCGTTGACGGGGAGCGGGTCGGGTTGTGGGCGTGCGCGCGGAGCTGGGTGCCTGCAGGGCGCCTGACGGGTGGGTGAACGCCCCAGCAGGCGCCGGGGATGGGCGGGCGAGCGCCGGGGGCGAGCTATTGCATGTGCGCTCCACGCGCTGAGGCTCGCCGCCGTGCGCGACGCGAATCTGACGGTTCTGGCGTCGCGGTGCACGTTCGGTGATGAGAGCATCGCGATCCGACCTCTCCGGCGGCGTCAGCGCCGCAGCGGGCGCTCGGCGTGGCGCGGGTGCGTCGGCCGGGCGGGCTCGATCGAGACCAGTGGGGTGACTTGAGACTGACCAGTGGACCCTGCACATGGGAGCTCGCCCCGCGCCACCTGTAGGAAAGCGGCGGCGTGTATGAGATGTCACTTTTGCACTTGTCTCTGGTGTTTCCCCGTGGCTTGTCTTGTGTTTGTGTTGTGTGTTGTTGTGGTATCTCCCCAACCATATGATTAATTAGTTGGGAGGTGTGTCTCTCCGATATCTTCCCAACCATATGATTAATCAATCGGGGTTGTGTTTCTCCGATATCTTCCCAACCATATGACTGATCAATCGGGGTTGTGTTTCTCCGATATCTTCCCAACCATATGACTGATCAATCGAGGTTGTGTCGCATCGATATCTCCCGAACCATATGACTGATCAATCGAGGTCGTGTCTCTTCGGTATCTCCCGAACCATGTGTTTGATCAATCGAGGTTTGTGTCTTGGGTATATGCCGAGTGGTCCAACTAGGGGGGCCGCCCGTCTTGGGTGTCTGCGTCAAGGGCCGTCTGAACTAGGGGGGCTGCTGTGGTGCAACGCTGTATTTTGACGACGTTTGCGGTGCGGTGTGTGTGTGGGTGCAACGTGTGTATCTGGGTACGTTTGCGATGCGGTGTGTCGGTGACATGGGGGTGTGGGGGGGTATGATCAGTCCCCCCGTTGCTCGGGGCCTTATTGGGTGAGGGTGCAGCAGTCTGCGCGCAGTTTCTTCGTTCGGTGCGGGTTCCGATTGGCAGTTCGACGACGGAGGTGCGCTGCGTTTCTCGCGCTGATCGATTTGCGTGGCGGATTGCGGGGGTTTGCGCGCGGCCCGCGGTGTGCGCGCGGTGCATCTCGATACTCACGTTGATTTTCGATGTGTGTCCGTCCCGCTGCCCCTTCGTGCAGGCATGCCTCCGGACGAGGCGACGGTCGCTGCGATCAAGCAGGTCGTCGGCGAGAAGGGCGTCGGCCCGTCCCGCGCTCTGCGGGAGCTGCGTGCGCATGGTGTCCACGTGACACGTGCCGACATCGAGGCCGTGTGCACCCCCGAGTGGCGTCCTCCTGCGTACCGCTACAACAGCGCTTCGGTCACCAGCACGGAGCCGCTGCAGGCGTGCCATGTCGACCTGCTCGACTTCGCGCAGAAGGGGTTCGAGTTCAAGTACGTGTTTGTCAGCGTGGACTGCTTCAGCCGGTATGCGGACTGGCTGCCGCTGTATGGCAAGTCCGCACCGGAGCTCCGGGCGGCTCTCGACTGGTTGTGTGTCCTCCGCGGGTACGACACGGCGGTGATGGACGGCGAGAAGGGGGCGTGGTCGTCGGACGTGCAGGAGTGGCTGTCGACGACGCGGTGTCGGCTTGTTCGGGCCAAGCACGCTGTCTTGGTCGAGCGGCTGTTCGCGACGATCCGGAAGATGGCGACCCGGATCCGGCTGGCGCGTACCGACGTGGACTACCTGGGGAGTATCTTCACTGCTCTGGAGGAGTACAACCATTTGAGTCACGCGGCTTTGGGGATGACGCCGTTCGAGGCGCACCACGACCCCGGAGCGCCTCTGGCGATCGCGAACCGCGGGATGGTGAGTGTGCAGCGCCGGCTTCGGCGTGGTGTCAAGGGGTGCGAGTTGCCTAGCTACGAGGTGGGGCAGATGGTGCGTCTGGCGGTCAAGGCAACGACCACGCGGGAGAAATGGCGGAAGAAGACCGACCACAAGTGGACCAGGGAGCTGTTTGCCGTGGCCAGGCCGTGCAAGCGGCAGAACTACGTCACGGTGTGGTTCAAGGGGAAGCAGACCAAGTTCGACATCAGCGACGTGGCATCGTGGCGTGTGAGCCCCGTGTGAGTCAGCCGAACAGTTCGGCCGCGAGCTCTTTGAGTCGCTGGTCTTGTGAGGGCGCTTGTCGCTTGGGTGCCTGCTGCTGTGTTTCGTCGAGCAGGGTTGCCTCGAGTGCCTCGAGGTCCTTCATGCGCCGGTCCAGGGCCGCCTTGCGCAGCGCGATCTCCTTGTCGTGCACGGCGAGTTCCTGCTCCTTCAGTTCGTCCTCGACCGAGCGTTTCGCCTTCGTCTTGGATTTGATTTGTGCACGTTTGGTGCGTACCTCCCTGGCGCGCTCTAGGTTCGCCAGAAGCCTCGCGCGCTTCTCGTCCGCGGCGGTTTGCTGTGCAGCGGGCTCGTCGGACATTTGTATGCTCGCACACAATATATTTTCATCGCAGTCCGAGCAGTTTGTAGATGTTGAGGTTGACTGCCCGCTGGCTGTGCCACGCGGACTGGCTGGCCTGCTCTGCGGCGTTGAGGCGCTGTGACAGGATGTCCGCGGTGCTCGCGAGGCTTTGCTGGAAGTTTTCGCGCGTAGCCTGCATCGTGCCTTCGACGCTCTCGAACTGGCGGGCTGTCTCCTGGATGAACGAATCTATGCGCCCTTCGAGGCCCTCGAGCGTCTCGAGATCGATGTCGTCGAGGCGGTTCTCGAGGGCGGTGATCCGCTCCTCGTGCGTGCTGACGGCGTCGAGGCCGACCGTGTACGACTCGCCCCCCTTGGTCCACTTCAGGATGGGCAGCGACTTGAACAGGGTGTATTTGCCGAGGCCGCTGGTCTCGGTGAAGGTGAGGTCCCCGGTGGCCTGGATGCGCCACTTGCGGTGTTCGATGCCGAGACCGTCCGAGACGCGGAGCAGCTTCGTGTCGCCGTACCACACCTCGAGCCCCCCCGTGACGCGTTTCAGCTCGATCGTCTTGCCCGTGAGCTGGAAGCTGGGCTTGTCGATGAAGAGCGAGTTGTACACCCTGTCGAGTTCGAACTCGCGCGTGAACCGTTCCTGCGCCGTCTCGGGGATGAGCCCCTGGAGCGTGCCGAGGGAGGCCCCCTCCAGGATGCCGTTGATCAGTCCCGTGCCCTGTATCTCGAACACCCGGGTGCCCCAGACGCGCACGAGGTTCGTGTCGGTGGCGCGCTCCAGGTCGTTCAGGGTCCGCCCGGTGTCCTCGCGCTCGTCGCCCTCGAACCCCGGCAGGTCCGGGATGCCGTCCGGGGTGGCTGGGGCCAGCCCCTTGAGCAGGGCCATGACAGCTGCTA